TTGTTTCCCCAAGTTATGCAGTGGTTTATTCCTTTACCCATAGACACCTGTTGGCAAGGCCGATTTAATATAATTAATCACTGCTGGGAAAGAACCGTACTAAGTCTCAAGGGTTGTAACAGACGGTACTATCCAGGAGATAGTATCGTCTTGTTTTTGTTTATGCCAGGAGATAGTTTTTGATATCGGGATACGTCGCGCAGGGACTCGGTTCCTGGGCAGGTGGCCGGACGTGGGTCTTCCTTCTTAGGATGTCATCTTCTTCATCGTCTTGCTTCTTGTAGATATGGCGGTGCATTAGAAGGTGCAGGAGAGCCCTGGAGTAAGAAGTCCTCAGGGCTGTAGGTGTTGTCCCATTGGGGTGGAGATGGTGGTGCTCCCACTGTGATCTCTTGTTCCGATGAGTCTTCGGTATCCGGTGAGGTGGCTGTTGAAGGTTTAGGTGTATGTGGTACAGAGGGAGTGGGTCTCTGTGGCTGTGGAGCAGAGGTTGCACGGACGGTGGTAATACTTCCAGCGGGCGCACACATAAAGTGTTTACGTCCGCAATTTCATTGGGTTAAACGTTGATAGCAGGTATTGCAGAGGGAGAACCTGGCTGCTGGACTGGGGGTCACGTCCACATGTGCTACAGGGACGGTGAGTGGTGCGGGAATTCATGGACATCCAGTCAGAAGTGTTACTATCCATGTATATGTCCTAAACAGAAAGTGACTTATGGCCTAGACTGTACTTACCTAAACAAGCACATGCTTCTGTTCTCAGTCTACAGGGAAAAGTGCTTTCAAACCATTTTAAACGACCAAGGTTTCTAATCTGTCGTTGTCAACGAGAGCACAACAGACAACGTCCATTGAAGAGAGTTGTCTGGGAAGAGTAATAGCTATGCTGATAACTTTACTCGACCACTTACGACAGTTCATCTTTGAAACTATGCGTGGAATGCGTTAGGGCACAACTAGTTTGTCCCCAGGAATTAAGATAATTAGAACTAACCAGAGGCTACTGCTACTGCCACACAACAGTTGACGAGGCCTGATTGGTTTTCCTTGTAAGGGCAATAAGGCGAGGATCCGTTTTTTTTTTTTTATAACCTGAACTGAACATACGACGCCCGTATCAAGCCTTATTCCAGGTCAAGAATACTTCCTGTTATAGTGTATTTGGTTGATATTCTGGGACACAAATACACCTATAACTTAAATTGTTCAAGCCTAACCGAACATTTAACCTCCTACAGGTATTGTTTCTTGATACTTGTCGTGCACCTGTGTGTACTCACCTAGTTGTGCTTGCGGGGGATGAGCTTTGGCTCTTTGGTCCCGCCTCTCAACTGTCTATCAATTGGTGTACAGATTCTGGAGCCTATTGGGCTCTATCAAATCTACATGTGAAAGTGTGAATGGAATCTGCCTCCACCACATCACTGCTTAATGCATTCCACATGTGTCCACATTACTGCCAGCATGTGTGTCGCGCACCCGTGTGTGTGCGTGCGTCGCCCACCTGTGTGTGTGTGTGTGTGCGTGTGCTTCGCGCACCTGTGTGTGTGCGTGCGTCGCGCACCTGTATGTGTATACAGTGCAGTATATTATTGTATTACAGATTCAGTAGATTCACAAGATTACCAGCGTCAGAAGAGTTATTTTTACTTTCCTAAGCGGGTAGAAGGGTGGAGCCCTCATCCACTGAAGACCTCGGTCATGTTCAATTTAAGTTCAAGTACGTTTATTGAAACAATAAAATGCATCTCAAACAGATAGAGGGTATTTCTTAGGCTATTTCTACCCCCCCCCCCCCCCACTCGGTCATGTCTCCTTGTTTTTGCGTCTTTAAGGAATGTAGGCTGGATACCAGGGGGGTCAGTCTGTGTAATTTCTCAGGGGGGGGGGGAATAATTGTGTACTACGCAATACGATGACTAGAACTGGATGGACAAATCCACAAGGGCCGTGACGAGGATTCGAACCTGCGTCCGGGAGCATCCGGACGCATCATAGAACTGGATGGCATAGTCTAAGTGCACCTCATCAAGGCCACATATATTTGGAGGACGATGTTTTTGCATTTATGGCAGACTTATCTGGTCATAAATCCAAATATTGTGTTGGCTGTGTTACACTGCTGCCTAGGTCTGTCATTGTTAATCATGATCCGGTCTCCTTTCGTAATGCTATTTTCTAGTATATGTATCATTTATTTGGTAGACGATGCAACTGTCATTTGCTAAGTTTAGGACTATCAACATTGAACTTCATCTGCCACTTTCTGCTCAATTCTGCAATGTGATGAGGTCTTTCCGGAGCTCCACAGAGTTCGCATTCAAATATATTATTTGTCCTGCACAGGATGAGTGCACAAAATAAGAAAAAGGAAGTGTAACGCCCAGAGAAAGTACACCCATGACTCGCCCTGGGAACCTCCTGGGAACCTCCTAGTAAGGTCAGCCTGTGACCTCAGATTCAGCTAGAGTTAATTGAAATATTTTCTGGCTCCTCCCTAGTCAGCTTGTTCCTGTTTATGAATAATCCTGATTGTCTTGGCAAACAACTTAATGGTACATCTTGAGTGGTTTTTTCACACACCATGGGAAGCTGATGCCTTGATGTGCTGTCAAACTATATAGGTGTGAAAAACACTTTCCTGTGTAGGCTGAACTAGCTGGGAACAGGACTTCACTAGACTTTCCCACAACAGTGCAAACGCCTTCCCCCTGATTCGGGGCATGACATAAGATTTTATATATATATACCCCTGTATGATAGGAGAGAGTGCTGGAGGGCTGGAGGACAAGAGGCAGTGTGGGCCACAAGTCATCAAGCGGGGCTCAGGAGATACTCTCCCAGGTTGTGGATCAGGACATAGAAGGTAATGTGGGTGATCTTTGATACTGTCCATGTAAGATTTCTAAATATTTGCCAGTAGGGACTTATAGTTGGTGAATAGCATATTTTGTTCTCAATAATCTCGTGTTAAACTCTCCATCTGTGTCCTTTGGAACATTTCAATGTCCCTCCAATGGAACCTTTCAAACTCCTCAATGTTTAGTTTTGTTAACAACCAGCCCGTAATTAATGACAGTTAAAAAAAAGAGAACTGCAAGTCAAGCGATGTTTCTTGCCTCATTGCTTGATATAGCTAATGGAGAGGCAAGATGGTGGCAGCGTAATTAATTTGTTCCCTGTGTAGCTTTTCCTTAGAAGTGTACCATTGGTCCCCGGTGTAGCCATCAGTGGTGTACCATAAGTCAGTTCATATTACGTCAAATATAAATAACCAGTGTTCAAGAACTAATATCCTTAAGACTTTACCTTTATCAATTTTTACAAAGTGTTACCAAGTGCAACCAGTAGAAAGTGTTACTCAGTGTATATTAGCATTAATCAGTATCGTCTAGGATACAATCTAATCTAGTGTACGATAGTGTAGTGTTACAGATGGAAGGTGCTCCAATAGATAAAGGTGTCCCTAAAACAGAAAATAGAGGAAGTCCTCGGAGTAGCTGGATGTTATCAGTGTCGCCCAAAAGGGGGGGGGGCAGTATTAGAGCTAATCATATTCTTAATCTTTATGAATGATTTACACAAAGACAGTCCTTCCTCCCATTGTTGCTGATGACCCAATAATTGTGCTAAACCTGTCCTCTTAAAAAGAACGTCGCTTTTGACCGTTTGCACGTATGGCCGAATATGGACGTAATTTGAAAATTAAAATAAATTTGGGATTTTTTTTTTCCAACAACAGTAAGTTAAGGGTCCTCTGATAGGTTAGGTGGACAGGAAATTCTCATAAAGTTTCAAAACGGTATGAAAAAAGTTAATGGAAAGTTTCCTCTTCTAAGCTTGCCGAGTAAGCCGAACGACTCAAACAGAAACCGGAACAGTACGTCACTTTTGTGAGTCGATTTCATTTCAAATTACGTCGAAATTTGGCCATAGCAGCGCATACGAGCGAAAAGTGACGTTATTTTTAAGAGTTCGGGTTGTGTGAAGAGGGTAAATCAAATGGAAGACTACAAGAAATTAAAGGATAACTTGGACAAAATGAAAGAATGAATTAACAAGTGGCTATCAGAGTTTAGCTCAAGCAAGTGCAAGGTAATGAAACACCGGACGCAAGACACCATACAACTCACCTCAGGAGCACCAGTGCCACGACACAGGTAGCAGCAACAAATACAAATCGATGCGAGTTTATTTTCTTCTGCAACATGTTTGATCTGAATAAAAGAAAATCGTAAAAAAAAATACACAAGCTAGGAAAAGTTAGTAAGAATGTAAGATGTTATGAATCTACATTACTTTCCTAAACAATATTCTATCTAAATGATGGAACAAGTTTTAAAGTAACATTTCTCTACTGTGGCATGGTTAAGTGATGTGAAAACAATTAAAATGTGCAATAAACACGTGTGATCTTTGTGAACATGTGAACTTGGTGAACATTCAGCCCTGGGAGCAGAAATATTTAAATATAATAATGATAACTTTCAAATAAGTTCATGATGGGAGCCGATTGTTGAAGAGTGCAGGGGGGGGGGGGATCGTGTAGTTTGTTGCGTCCTCACACTAATACTAACAATACTAAGTGAGGATAGAAAACGGGATAGCACATACGAAGGCTCACTCCCTATGCTCAGGTGGCTGGAAACACGCTCAGGAAGCAGCGTCGTGACATGGGAACAAATGAGAAATTTGACTGAAGATGTAAAGTGATATAAGTTAAGTCTCCTTTCTCTGTGCTCTCTGTACCCTGTCTTTATAATTTATGTCACTCTAGAGTCCAACCTGACACAGCGTATTTCAGGTGAGGCATAATGAACGCACTAGGCTGCGTCAGTCCCTGGTGAGTTAGGCCGAGTCAGTACGGTCCCTGGCGGGTTAGGCCGAGTCAGTGCGGTCCCTGGCAGGTTAGGCCGAGTCAGTACGGTCCCTGGCAGGATAGGGCGAGTCAGTACGGTCCCTGGCGGGTTAGGCCGAGTCAGTACGGTCCCTGGCGGGTTAGGGCGAGTCAGTACGGTCCCTGGCGGGTAAGGCCGAGTCAGTACGGTCCCTGGCGGGTAAGGCCGAGTCAGTACGGTCCCTGGCGGGTAAGGCCGAGTCAGTACGGTCCCTGGCGGGTAAGGCCGAGTCAGTACGGTCCCTGGCGGGTAAGGCCGAGTCAGTACGGTCCCTGGCGGGTAAGGCCGAGTCAGTACGGTCCCTGGCGGGTAAAGCCGAGTCAGTACGGTCCCTGGCGGGTAAGGGCGAGTCAGTACGGTCCCTGGCGGGTTAGGCCGAGTCAGTGCGGTCCCTGGCGGGTTAGGCCGAGTCAGTACGGTCCCTGGCGGGTAAGGCCGAGTCAGTACGGTCCCTGGCGGGTAAGGCCGAGTCAGTACGGTCCCTGGCGGGTAAGGGCGAGTCAGTACGGTCCCTGGCGGGTTAGGCCGAGTCAGTATGGTCCCTGGCGGGTAAGGGCGAGTCAGTACGGTCCCTGGCGGGTTAGGCCGAGTCAGTACGGTCCCTGGCGGGTTAGGCCGAGTCAGTATGGTCCCTGGCGGGTAAGGGCGAGTCAGTACGGTCCCTGGCGGGTTAGGCCGAGTCAGTATGGTCCCTGGCGGGTTAGGGCGAGTCAGTACGGTCCCTGGCGGGTTAGGCCGAGTCAGTACGGTCCCTGGCGGGTTAGGCCGAGTCAGTATGGTCCCTGGCGGGTAAGGCCGAGTCAGTACGGTCCCTGGCGGGTTAGGCCGAGTCAGTACGGTCCCTGGCGGGTTAGGGCGAGTCAGTACGGTCCCTGGCGGGTTAGGGCGAGTCAGTACGGTCCCTGGCGGGTTAGACCGAGTCAGTACGGTCCCTGGCGGGTTAGGGCGAGACAGTACGGTCCCTGGCGGGTTAGGCCGAGTCAGTACGGTCCCTGGCGGGTTATGATCAAAATATCTTTGTGAACTTCAACATACTGCTGCCCTTTTTTGCTTGCGGCTATACGTTGCTGTGTGTATTTCACTTTACTAACGATCTGACGATCACTTTACGATCCTCTTCGTTGGTCTTGGCTAGTGAATGAAATGTTATTACCCAAAAGATATGTGTATAATATATATATATATATATATATATATATATATATATATATATATATATATATATATATATATATATATATATATATATATATATATATATATATATATATATAAATATGTTGTACCTAGTAGCCAGAACGTCGTACTTGGCCTACTATGCAAGGCCCGATTTGCATAATAAGCCAAGTTTTCATGAATTAATGTTTTTTCGACTACCTAACCTACCTAACCTAACCTAACCTAACTTTTTCGGCTACCTAACCTAACCTAACCTATAGAGATAGGTTAGGTTAGGTTAGGTAGGGTTGGTTAGGTTCGGTCATATATCTACGTTAATTTTAACTCCAATAAAAAAAAATGACTTCATACATAATGAAATGGGTAGCTTTATCATTTCATAAGAAAAAAATTAGAGATAATATAATAATTCAAGAAAACTTGGCTTATTAGGCAAATCGGGCCTTGCATAGTAGGCTGAGAAGTGCATTCTGGCTATTAGGTACGACATATATATATATATATATATATATATATATATATATATATATATATATATATATATATATATATATATATATATATATATATATATATATATATTATTAAATATGACCGAAAAAGTAAGATTAATAATTCTAACACGAATTTTCTCAATCTTTCGTACATTATGCTTCACTGTTGGAGGTAAATCAAAAATCACTTCTCCAAAATTCATTTTTATTTCTAGTTTGACGCGACACGGGCGCGTTTCGTAAAACTTATTACATTTTCAAAGACTTCACAAATACACAACTGATTAGAACTTGCGTTTCCCTGATTTTATATCTACATTTGAGTGAGGTGGGAAGGGTGATGTGGCATTACATTTGAGTGAGGTGGGAAGGATGATGTGGCATTAACACAAGACAGAACACTAGAGGATATTAATAGGGTATTAAAAGTATCAACACAAGACAGAACACGAAACAATGGGTATTGAATAGAAGTGTTTGTAGAAAGCCTATTGGTCCATATTTCTTGATGCTTCTATATTGGAGCGGAGTCTTGAGGTGGGTAGAATATAGTTGTGCAATAATTGGCTGTTGATTGCTGGTGTTGACTTCTTGATGTGTAGTGCCTCGCAAACGTCAAGCCGCCTGCTGTCGCTGTATCTATCGATGATTTCTGTGTTGTTTACTAGGATTTCTCTGGCGATGGTTTGGTTATGGGAAGAGATTATATGTTCCTTAATGGAGCCCTGTTGTTTATGCATCGTTAAACGCCTAGAAAGAGATGTTGTTGTCTTGCCTATATACTGGGTTTTTTGGAGCTTACAGTCCCCAAGTGGGCATTTGAAGGCATAGACGACGTTAGTCTCTTTTAAAGCGTTCTGTTTCGTGTCTGGAGAGTTTCTCATGAGTAGGCTGGCCGTTTTTCTGGTTTTATAGTATAATAATAATAGTATTATATTTAATACTAATTTAAAAATAGTATTTTTATAGTATAATACTATAAAACCAGAAAAACGGCCAGCCTACTCATGAGAAACTCTCCAGACACGAAACAGAACGCTTTAAAAGAGACTAACGTCGTCTATGCCTTCAAATGCCCACTTGGGGACTGTAAGCTCCAAAAAACCCAGTATATAGGCAAGACAACAACATCTCTTTCTAGGCGTTTAACGATGCATAAACAACAGGTCTCCATTAAGGAACATATAATCTCTTCCCATAACCAAACCATCGCCAGAGAAATCCTAGTAAACAACACAGAAATCATCGATAGATACAGCGACAGCAGGCGGCTTGACGTTTGCGAGGCACTACACATCAAGAAGTCAACACCAGCAATCAACAGCCAATTATTGCACAACTATATTCTACCCACCTCAAGACTCCGCTCCAATATAGAAGCATCAAGAAATATGGACCAATAGGCTTTCTACAAACACTTCTATTCAATACCCATTGTTTCGTGTTCTGTCTTGTGTTGATACTTTTAATACCCTATTAATATCCTCTAGTGTTCTGTCTTGTGTTAATGCCACATCATCCTTCCCACCTCACTCAAATGTAATGCCACATCACCCTTCCCACCTCACTCAAATGTAGATATAAAATCAGGGAAACGCAAGTTCTAATCAGTTGTGTATTTGTGAAGTCTTTGAAAATGTAATAAGTTTTACGAAACGCGCCCGTGTCGCGTCAGACTAGAAATAAAAATGAATTTTGGAGAAGTGATTTTTGATTTACCTCCAACAGTGAAGCATAATGTACGAAAGATTGAGAAAATTCGTGTTAGAATTATTAATCTTACTTTTTCGGTCATATTTAATAATATATGTCTACAGGAAAGACTGCTACCAAAATATACTAATATATATATATATATATATATATATATATAAGTTTATAAGTTTATGTGTGTGTAAGCAAAACTGTGAGCAGGTTTAGACACCAACCTTCCTCGACGGCGGCCGAACACTATATGAGGGGGTCGTCAGTTAGGTCCGCTCACAGGTGGGTGTTGCCACATCATGTCACAACGGACCTGAGTTTCTCATTGTCGGGGGAAAGGTGGCCTATGCAGGCGATGAGTCACAATAACGTGGCTAAAGTATGTTGACCAGACCACACACTAGAAGGTGAAGGGACGACGACGTTTCGGTCCGTCCTGGACCATTCTCAAGTCGATTGTGATGTAAAACCACCTCAATCACCATTCTCAAGTCGATTGTGATCACAATCGACTTGAGAATGGTCCAGGACGGACCGAAACGTCATCGTCCCTTCACCTTCTAGTGTGTGGTCTGGTCAACAAAGGTGGCCTATACTTAGGCTTGTCGAGGTCCCCCTTACACCAATTATCGACTTTCCCAAGAATGCTACCCACAACTGCTTAATTCCCGGGTACCTTTCTTCTTGCTAAGTCAAAAGAGACGACATGGGAAAGGGAACGTGCCAAACCGTATCTATCCTACCACGGGAAGGGAACCCGGGACCCTCGGTTGGGAACCGACGATGTAGCTCCCTATCTTTTGTTAGTTTAAAATCACCTCAATCACCTTTTGTGGTTTATCGCTCAATAACTCGCTGTATTATATGTAATCTAATAAATATCTAGAAAAGCCTACTTTTCACACTAATAAGTAATTACATTCTGCCCGAAACGCTGCGCGTACTAGTGGCTTTACAAGATTGTAATTACTATCCTATTTATCCTCACAATCCCAATGTACCTTCTTGTATATATATAAATAAATAAATAAATAAATATTTAGAAAAATATACATTAGGAAGAACAAAACCTGGTTTAGGTGAGGAAAATAATCACTGTTTCCTACCTTAGCATGTCTCACATGGACACAAGTCTACCCTCTTGTTCCACTCCTCTCTTCTGCCTCGATTTTAAAAATGACCAAGATGCAAAAAAGGCTTTATTGATGGACCTGTATCGCCTGTAAGGGCTTTGTGAAAGTTAACAGAGCTACACAGGGTTGGTAATTCTCAAGGGGGCAACTGTTTCAGGCTCACCGAACCACACTGTAGGACAAGACAGGAGATGCTCTTGTACCCATAGGGTTATAAACCAATGGAATTGCCTACCCACCGAAGCCGTAAGTACCAAGACTACTTCACTGAAATTAAACGTGGAAAATATCCTCTGGAATAATATAGGGACCTTTGACAAGCAGCCAACTACCTGCCCTGTCAAGACTATTAGAAAGATGGAGACCCTCAGTAGGAAAAACAAAAAGGCAAAAGATTTATATGCGGTTTGAAGGGAAACCAGAGTTGGTGGCCATCAGGTAAATTCAGGAAAATAAAGAGGCAACACTGAGAATGCATGGGGTCAGGTGGGGATGACATAAGGTGAAGATCAGAGATTCTATATTTTTTTTTTTTTTTATAAAAAATATACAAAGTATAGCACAATATACAAGACATGAACAGAAGAACAAGAACAGAACAACAAAACATAAGTAGAAACACAGGCATAAAAGAACATTGCAGTACAAGACCCTAGAAACTCCAGGGACATAAGACCGAATACCAAATTAAGCATAATAATAGACATACAACACACGGACGCATACGGACATGGAAAGACACAACAACCATACACAGAATACACCAGACACGCATACATATACAAAACGAGCTTTTTATAAAAGAAATACACAATATACAAACCAGACAATAGAAAACAAATCATACATACATAAAGGATAACATAGCAAAGTGCGAAAACACGGATGCAAACGAAACATACAAAAACTAAGAAACAAAATAAGGCACAATGAGAAAACCCCGAAACGGGCACTGGAGGTTACACACACACACACACACACACACGGGCCTCGTAGCCTGGTGGATAGCGCGCAGGATTCGTAATTCTGTGGCGCGGGTTCGATTCCCGCACGAGGCAGAAACAAATGGGCAAAGTTTCTTTCACCCTGAATGCCCCTGTTACCTAGCAGTAAATAGGTACCTGGGAGTTAGTCAGCTGTCACGGGCTGCTTCCTGGGGTGTGTGTGTGTGTGGTGTGGAAAAAAAAAAAAAAGTAGTTAGTAAACAGTTGATTGACAGTTGAGAGGCGGGCCGAAAGAGCAAAGCTCAACCCCCGCAAAAACACAACTAGTAAACACAACTAGTAAACACACACACACACACACACACACACACACACACACACACACACACACACACACACACACACACACACACACACACACACACACACACACACACACACACACACACACACACACACACACACACCAAGTGCATAGCACAAAACATACAAGCAAACAAGCCATGCAGGGGCAAGAACAACACCCACACCACCCACCACCCACACGCACAGACAAGGACGCCCACCTGTGCACGTAGGCACCGGGGAAACATCACGCACAATACAGACAGAAACCAAACACACCAATAAACCAATCGCTCATACTTCTCCGGGTACTCCCGAGCAGGAAACCGTAAACAATAAGCCTCCCAAACAAGTTGGAGACTGTCAGAAATCGGACACCCAGGAGTCGCAGTAGGCCGAGGCATCGAATTCGGCACTCCCGAGACAAAACACTGCTCTCGTGGAACCCAGATAGTAGAAGGGCACCAGGGAACAGGACGCACCAAGTCGTCACACTGAAAAGTCGCAGTTGCTGTAGACCCGTCGAGCACCTCACCGGTCGAGAGGACAAAAGGGATAGGTTTCCCCCGAGGACGCTGGGCACACGGGCGCACACTGGGAAGCACATCTGACTGCACTGCAGGCCGCACACCGGCCCGCCCACTAGGGTGTGCACACCGGTGTCAGGAACCGTACCGAGACCCGCGGAGGGTGGCTCCGCAAGGGCCCTAGAGCCCCCACCAACCGGAACAGGAGCAGAGGCCCCCCGCTTCATATCCTTCGTCAACACCACCACAAGGTCGCTCTTACCAGGGGCAACAGCCCACTGAGGGGAGCCACCAGCAGGAGGCACAGCATCCAACTCAGAAGGCAACACAGCGTCGGCCACATCAACATCCTCCATTTCATCCCGCTCCTCTGCCCACGACCGACGAGGTGACGCACCCCGAGCCGAGCGACGGCGCTTAATCAGAGGCTGCTGATCGTCGGAGCTGTCACCCCCAACAAGTGGTGTCCCAGAAGAACCATCGACAGACGGCCCCAAAATCGGGGCAGCACGTTCCCGCAGAACAGCAGCCTCAACAACGCGGGGCAAAAAGCCACCACTAGGAACGGAGACCGGAGTCGGAGAAGGAAGAGACACAACAGGCGGAAGGGAAGACGTCAGCACACGTGAGGTATCCAGGGATGGCGACCATACCACCGCACCGTCAGCCCCGGGAAGCACACGGCCCCCAGCAGGAGACTCAGGCACCACCCCTACAGCATCCCCCAAGGTCACCGGATGCGGATGCACGTCCACAGGCATCGAACGATGAAGGTCCGAAACAGGCGCCCCCAGGTCCCCCGAGCTCGCCGGCGGGGCAGACTCATCCGGTCCAGACGCATCGACAGCCGGAACCGCCGCAGGATCCACACCAGGCACGAGCACAGAGCGAGAATCCGCCGGGGAGTCCACACGCACAGATAAGCGAGGAAAATCATCCTCTAGGAAAACTGAAGGGGCATCTGTATGAGGAGCGTCACAACCGGCCGCGACGTGGCCCTCAGCACCACACCGGAAACACGTCCGGGTCTGCCCCTGATAGAAGGTCCTCAGAGACAGCCCACGATATGAGATCCTGGACGGTATAGGAAAAATCCAGCCGCACTGTGTCTAGTCTTCTGATACGGCTAGTACCAGCCCCGTCCATACTGGCAGGTGGGGCTCCGACCAGCGGGAGCTCCACACCCCCCCCCCCCCCACAGCAACCGCCACTTAGCAACGGCAAACGACCACTGACAGCCAGAGCCCGACGTCTGCACCCTCTGGTGGCGCAGCCAGGAATCCAGAGATTCTATATAGTCATTAAGTATTCACTTAAAAAATTACGGGCTATTCATGCCCGTGCCACCTCTTAGGTAGTTTAATCTTCATCAGTCAATAACTCACTTGATAATTTTCCTTCATTGTGTTCAATGTTTCTGTCGTGCTTGATGGCCGGGGGACTGTCCATTGTCTCTTCATGTGGGTTTCTTCTTCTTGGGTGATGTCCGTAGCATCCTGGAGGTTCATGGGCGTTGCTCACCCGAGTGACACAAACGGACGTCTTAGCCACACAGCTGCCGGGTGTGTGGTGGCTCTCCATTTCAAATATGTTATTAGTTTTAGTGTAGTTGGTTGTGGACGCCTTAAATTTGCAGTTGAGGGATCTCAAGACTGATAATCATTCATTCATTTATTCATTGTGTCGGGGGACAGGAAGCCAGAGGGTATTCATACACGTTAGGCTTATATCGAGGAAACACTTGCCTGTGAGGGCCATTTTACCCATGACTACCAAGATGTGGGATCATGTGGCTAATTTGGTTTATTTTCCTTCGTCAGTGGACTGTATATTAATATAAAGTCCCCTATTAAGTATGTTAAGTATTTAGTAGCGGAATATAAACTGTAGGTAAATATGAGTTTGACACACTTCCACAGTGAGGCGTTTACAGTTTTAGTATTAATTGTGATAGAGAAGAATTAATAATATTTGATTAAATATAAATTCGATATTGGTTATAAGTTATACGGAACAGACGTGACATGCTGGATATCAGCTGGTATATTAATATGCGCTGTTAGCCATCAACAGGTGGGGAAAATCTAATACAAAATCTGCACCGATTGTTCCTTAATCTCATATGTCAATTATCTACTGGAAGCGAAACGCGGATACAGTGTAATGATCAAGAATTTTATTATTTGTAATAAAATGATTTGTCATTTCATGCGGTGTGAGTTTAGATTTATCTCTAAATGAATAAATTTTTCAGTCTAAAATGCAATGTTCTAGTGTGTGTGTCTTTGTCCACACACTTTACACTTAACTTCACCTAGATCCCTATACAAGCCAGACTGCCAGAGATACATGTAGCCAAGTCTTATTGATCTGTGACAACATCTGTTAGTCTGCTGATGTTGCTACGTGCCCCATACACATGTTTTACTTGACACATTTCATTGTGATGAACAATGGATCTGCCAACTCCAATTTGCACTGTTCTACTTTCTTTAAATTCATCTAAAAGTTTTTGTCTAATTACACTTTTGTAAGGATCTATCTGTAATTACAGTACCTAATTTGTAACAGTAAAATACCTAATTTCATCTTCATAGTTTCCTACCTTGTGCTTCAACTCACACTGTATCTTGTCTTATCCACTTCCCCAATATTAGTACTTAATGCATATATCTTTACCAGTGTATTCACCTCTGTCAGTTTATACTGTAGTTATTTGTTGACATAAAATCTTGCTACAATGTACCCTTTCATCTTATCTGATAAGTTAGATTAAGCACCTCTCCGAAACGCTTTGCGTGTTAGTGGCTTTGCAAGAATGTAAAAATACCAATCTTATGTAATCTCACCAACTCATTCGGTAGAGCGACGGTCTCGCTCCTTGCAGGTCGGCGTTCAATCCCCGACCGTCCAAGTGGTTGAGCCTTTCCCCCCGTCCCATCCTAAATCCTAATCCTGACCCCTTCCAAGTGCTATATAGTCGTAATGGCTTGGCGCTCTCTCCTGATAGTTCCCTTCCCTTCCTTCACCAACTCATTGTACCTTTTTGTGAATAAATTATTATTATTATTATTATTATTATTATTATTATTATTATTATTATTATTATTACTACAGAGTGCATAATTAGAAAGTAGTAAATTAAACCTAGATGCTTTATCACTCCTGTGAGTGATACAATATCTAGTATGCAGTCTAATATGCTAATAAATACAAATTTCGGGAACCAAACAAATTTTTTAGTCCAATTATTGAACCTGTACTACAGACTTTTGGTGCAGTGCGACATTTGAAAATTCAACCATGCGGTAAAGACAATTTTCCAATATATGTGCTGTGGGCGGCTAGTGCTAACCACACCAAGATTCGTGTTTCAAAATGTACACAACTTATTCACAGACGTTAGATGATTCTTTGTTGCCGCCGGAGGCGGTTAGTTTATTGTGCACCCCATACTCATCCTGTGAGCGGTAGCGCAAAAAGCATTACAGAGGGCACACAAGGTCTTTATCAGACCTCATCTTAGATTATTACATAAACAATTTCATCTATCCTTCACACCTTATAGTTACATGTCAGCTAGTTACAGAGAATGTTTTATTTCAAGAGCTATATATTTACAGTAAGTCATTATACATTAATGGTAGGTCTTATCGCTAAGACATAACTGTTTGATCAATGGGGACATTACAGTCATAGGAGAGCTTCTGTTTATTATTAGTCTTCACAATACTGAGTTTCTTAATCTCACATGTCATTTATCTACTGGAAGTGAAATATGAATACAGCGCAAGGATTTCAGGTATTTTATCCTTTGTAATAAGAGAGGGTGCCATATCAAACAGTGTGAGCTTAGATTTATCTCTAAATGACTCAACTTTATTACAATCCAAGAAATAGTGTTCGAGTGTGTGTCCCTGTCTTTGTCCACACACTTTACACTTTACTTCATCTAAATCCCTATACAAGCCGAACTGCCAGAGATAATTCTGTGACGTTGCTTCCGAGCCCACACCACCTCCCGCTGGAGGACGGAGGCTACCCGTTGACTTCCCGGGCCTACACAACCTCTCGCTGGAGGACGGGGGCTACCAGTCGATCTCCCGGGCCCACACCACCTCCCGTTGGAGGACGGAGGCTACCAGTTGACCTCCCGGGCCCACACCACCTCCCGCTGGAGGACGGGGGCTACCAGTTGACCTCCCGGGCCCACACCACCTCTCGCTGGAGGACGGGGCCTACCAGTCGACCTCCCGGGCCCACACCACCTCCCGCTGGAGAACGGGGGCTACCAGTCGACCTCCCGGGCCCACACCACCTCCCGCCACCGTCCATGATTAGTTCGGGAATGGATCAGTCGGAAGTCTTGACACTTGAGCAGCATGAAGTAGGGCCAGAACACCTGCTGTTTGCTCGTCTGGCTCAGGTCTCCTGCAAAAAACAAAATGATTCAAGAAACTTCATTTCACTATGTAATAATATTGTGAATAAAACTATGAACAATATTGATAACTTTCAAGAAGTCATATAAAACAATATTGCTTGGTTTCACGGTAGTGTTTACGGGCGCAATAGAACGTATATAACAACAACAAATCAATGACTAAGAAAGGCCTATTAGTAAGTGCGAAGCAGCTCCAAATTATATCCAATCATTCGCTCCCATGTATTCGTCTAAACAATGATTGAAACTTTACAGCGAGTTTGCATCTGTCATGTTACTTGGCAGACTATTTCATACGTTTGTAGCCTTATTTCCGAGGGGAAGAGAGGGAATTATCAAGGGAAAACGTCGAGCCATTATGACTATATAGCACTTGGAAGAGGTCAGGATAACGATTTGAGATGGGAGCCCTATTTCTGAACCAGAGTTTACCAGTTAAATTATATATTTTAAATCTTTAGTAGGAATAAGGTGGTTGATCTCTGTTGTGTTCCTAACAGTGTTGGTGTTGTCTCCAATGGTCTAGCAGATGCTCCTGCTAAAGGACCCATTTGTACGTGATCCATCAGCCAGTAGAGAATTCCTTAGTGGGATATCTTTTTCATTTATCATAATTTTTACGTCGCTTGGAAACTCAGTTTTTTACAGTTCCTTCGCGCACTCCCCACTATAATCCTCTTTAAATCTGCCTGACTTAAATCATAGTGTCTTTCTGCTCTTGTTCGTTTAGTGTTGGGTTTAAGGCTTATAAACGTTTGCAAGCGTATTAAGGCCACCATAATAGCGTACTGACGTATCGGCAAGTAGTACTTTAGTCCTGAACATTGTCCATAACAGAACGGACAAGTTACAAAATGGCCGCTCACTGGACTTCCATCACCTCTACTGTCTATCACACTTTGTCTCCTTGGCGTGAACCGCTGCCTTCCACTTTGCCTCATCTGGGACTCCAACAGATGAGGGTGACACATCCCGTACTTCTTCGTCAGATTCATCAACCATGTCTATTGCTCCCGCTGCACAGCAGATTCTCCGTCGCTACCTGCACAATGCAGACTACACCCTACCCTGCCGACTCTCCGTCGCCACCTACACAATGCAGACTACACCCTACCCTGCCGACTCTCCGTCGCCACCTACACAAAGCAGACTCTACACCCTACCCTGCCGACTCTCCGTCGCCACCTACACAATGCAGATCCTTAAAGTGTACCTAAAAATTTGTAGACAAATTCGATCTGTAGTCAAATCATTTACAGTGTAGCATAGTAAAGTTAATATAGCAAGTGTGTAGGGTTGTCGCCCTCGGGCTTGACGGGAAAGACTTAATCAAGTGAGAAACCCTGATAATGGTGACAAGGTCAGAGGACTCACTGTTGCCAAACACATCTTAAAAAATGTATCTCTTAAAATGACATTTTTTAAAACCCTTGGTTAAACTAATTTTAATATTTGCAACACTCACAGTATTGGTGTATATGTAATTTACACGTTTTTTATATGAATAACATTAGCTGTTGCAAAATCTTGATTAGTATCAATAAAATGCGGCACATGTGCAAAATTAAGAAATCTAACCTTCGAAATAGTCATCATGAACTTCCATAGCGATCTGCTTGATGTTCCTGAGGACGTGTGGAGAGTTAAGGAGCATATCCTGCAGGAAGTCCACCTCCGACAGCTCCACGTCCAGCTTCACGTAGTCGATCACCTGACCCGCGAGTCCCAGCTGGTTCACCAAGTTCTCGAAGCGATCCACCTGAGGAGAAGAGATGGCGGAATAATCCTTTAATACAAGTACCTCTTGACTCACTAAGGTCTCTGTGCGAACCGCTTGTGGCCGAGAAAGTTAAATATTATTTTACTTTGAAATACTAGTTGATTATCCAAGATCTCGAAGCTTTTGTAATGGAAATCTGAATATTTCCTGACATCAAATCCTAGTTTGTTGAACAAGTCTCAGGTGAAGCAGCCCGTCCTTCAAACAAAGAGCCAAAAGTGATTCCATGCACCCGCCAAATCCCCTGTTTATGAATAAAAAACGGTTTACACACGACTCACAACTGATTTCATTCGAACATTTTCGGAATAAGTGCTTCACTGACGAATTTTGTTCGAACCACAACGCTGTAAATGCTTCACACACGTACTACAAATACAAATAATCGCCTACAGAACCTAAACACCTAACGTAACCTATGCCTATATATACACAATATGCTAATATGTTATAATATTAATTTATGTTTGAGAAAATTCCCGTTTTGAATGAACAGCATGTTAAATTTTATGAATGCGTCCGTGGGGTCGACCGCTGGATGTAATGGACTAGAGTGGAGGACGGATTGGGCGAAGCCACCACGTACCATCTTCACCCTGGTCGGTGCTCATAGCCAGCACGGTGCTGGTCAGGTACACTCCGAAGTTTTGGCACGAGAGTTATTCTTTTTGTGCCGGTAATCTTTAGCAGCGTGGATATGTGGGACAGGGGGCGAGGAAGGTAAGGAGTGGGATTAACAAGAGAAGTTTAGGGTAAGGGATTAGAGGCATACATAGTAGCCATTACTCCAGAATAATTTTCATGCATCTCACAGTTGTACCGATACTGTTAATTATAGGATCAAAATGATAGATGACTCAAGAAATCTGCTTCATATTTAAAAAAAATGAATGGCAAAATTTATTTATCTCTTCAGATCTTAATAAATCATCCTCGTTATATTGATTACATTTAACTAGCAATTTATTCCCATAGTTATCCTGCCCTTTAAAAATATGTAATTTTAATCATGAATATTGCTAGTGAGTTAAGTAAATCAAGAGTTCAACTCACCTTTTGAATAGCGTAACTGAAGTCCATACCAATCTTCTTTGTGCCCTTGTAGTTAGCGATGCCCACGGCCTGGAAGCGAACGTTGGCGGACCGTTGGTGATCCTCCTTACCCATGGTGGGGTCGAATGCGTACACCTGTCAACCCCCAGAAAAAAGTCGGTAAACCTGTCAACCCTGAATGGTAAGTTACCATCGATCAAGTATGTTAGGCTAGCTAATTTGTCAAATAGCTCCACGCTCGGGAAAGACGCGTAATGTTAGCGGGACACTCTACATTGGTTATTTATTATATTAATTTCCGAACATTTGTAGGCTATAATCAATGCTTCTAACAATATCAAATAAGTTAGTTTTTTGTGCTTATGATAGAGCGAGTGACGTTGATGAACATGAAAATATTCCACCCAAGAAACATTAAAGGGTTAATGTAAGTCTGACTTAATTTCTCACAAGTGTGTTTACATTATAGACATATTTTTTAAAAGTTAATGTTAACATTAACCTGATGTCATAGGTACCCAGTGTGAAGGGCGTGAGGTGCAGTAGAGGCAGAGTCCTAGCTGGATGGCATAGTCGAATAAATTTACATCAAGCTAGGTTTCTACCTAGCTCCTCCTTACTAACCTTTCAGAAAATACTAGTGATTCATACCTAGCACCAACTTGAGTCATCTATGCAATGATGACTCTATGCAAATAAAACAATGTAACACTTTAGATATAGCCGTCATCACCCTTCACCTTGCAGCCATATATGGCAAAATCGTCCTCAAAGGACCACTCGTTGTTGACACCGAAGGAGAAGACGGTACAGTTGCCGGGCTTAATGTTGAACCTCTTGTCCAGACACACATACTTGGCTCCGTCACCGGGAGCGGGTACCCAGCCCCCAAATTGTACCTGGGAACATAAAACTTGAACAGTCAGCATCACAGCTGTGTTACACTGGTACAATCAGTCCCACAGCTGTGTTACACGGGTACAATCAGTCCCACAGCTGTGTTACACGGGTACAATCAGTCCCACAAGCTGCCCGATATCACCGCTAACTCGCTATAACTTGCATTTAAATATGACACAATAAATGAGCATTCTGGTGCTTCAGAAAATATAGCGAGTACTTCAAGCTAATATTTCACATGATAAAATGTTACAAATTAATGTAACGTGTCTGCACCAGATGATGAAGTTTATTAATTAGGTCATATGAAATTCTCCGTTGTCACGATGGAAACAAATATGATAATAATTCATTGTGTCGGGGACAGGCAGCCAGAGTGTATTCATACACGTTAGGCTTATATCGAGGCTTCCCCCCCCCCTCAAGGTCGAATTACTGACCCCGCCCAGGATGTAACCCCCCAACAAGCTGACTAACTTCTAAGTATCTACTTACTGTTAGGTGAACAGGCGCATTAGGTGATTTGAAATACACCCAACCATTTCTGTCCCGCCCTCGATTATTTAAATTAATCACCGGTAATTTTCAGCCTATGAGTGTAAGCACTATGAACAAATCCACAATGGCCGTGATGAGGGTTCGAACTTAAGCCCGGGATGATCCCGGTGTATGGATGGTGTAAACACTAACTATGTTGACTAAATAACACACTGTTGAATACCAAGGGTGACATAATGGGACTATGTTGAAATAAAAAAAAAAACAAAGAGCAGGCGCCCAAATGTCGAGTTACACACTGCACACAACAGCACGAGGACACTACAGCACGAGGACACAACAGCACGAGGACACAACAGCACGAGGACACAACAGCACGAGGACACAACAGCACGAGGACACAACAGCACGAGGACACAACAGCACGAGGACACAACAGCACGAGGACACAACAGCACGAGGACACTACAGCACGAGGACACAACAGCACGAGGACACAACAGCACGAGGACACAACAGCACGAGGACACAACAGCACGAGGACACAACAGCACGAGGACACAACAGCACGAGGACACAACAGCACGAGGACACTACAGCACGAGGACACAACAGCACGAGGACACAACAGCACGAGGACACAACAGCACGAGGACACTACAGCACGAGGACACAACAGCACGAGGACACAACAGCACGAGGACACAACAGCACGAGGACACAACAGCACGAGGACACAACAGCACGAGGACACAACAGCACGAGGACACAACAGCACGAGGACACTACAGCACGAGGACACAACAGCACGAGGACACAACAGCACGAGGACACAACAGCACGAGGACACAACAGCACGAGGACACAACAGCACGAGGACACAACAGCACGAGGACACAACAGCACGAGGACACAACAAAAAGCATCGAACAAGTATAGGAGACTTACTAGAGTCGAGCAGTTAGTCTCGGTGTGGTGGAGATAGGCTCTGTACTGCTCGATGGTCTCCAGGCCCACCACGGGACACCTCTTGCCGCACCTCTCTCTCTCCACCTCCGATACTGTGGACATTAACGTTAGTACCTTCATGATCATAAGCAAAAACTACTTTATCAACACATAAGTAGAAGACGCACCAGTATTAAGAGCAAATGTTAAGGCTAAGATGTTACATAAGTGGTTGTCGAGCCCGGTGGACTGGCCATCAGTAAGTGTACATGTGTATGAAAGGGTATAACAAGGGGGATACCAATAAGGTGTTAAATGTCGACACAAAATAGAACACGAAACAATGGCTATCAATTGGATAAGTTTCGAATCACGGAAGACCTGGGTAAATACTGGTTTGGAAACATGGTTGATGAGTTTGTGTAACAGATTACAAGGGTGACGTGGGATTGCTGGATTGTTTCGAGCGTTGGTTAGACACGTATATGAATGAGTTTGGGTAGGTATAAATGGGTCCTGCCTCTTTTGGGTCAGTAGGCCTTCAAAAGTGTCATTCTTTTGTTATAGAACGTTTAAGGAAGGTTATGGGTATACTATGAGGTTTTTGCCCCCTGCTGGGTATACTCTGAGGTATCCCCCTGCTGTGTATAGTATAAGGCCGCACCCCTGCTCGGTATACTATCTTCACAGTAAACAAATTGAACCTACAGTCAGTCTCAGGCTCCTGAACTCTGTAGATGTGGTCCTGACTGAAAGAAAAAAACGAAAACGCGTATTAACACATATTCGCGTATAACAAAATATAAAAATCATTGATATCATCAGTGTTGCATTAAATATAAGATCATCAATATATTTATAATGAGAAAGATGCGCAGTTTGAGGGCGCATGCGCTAATAGTGACGCAGTAGGCTGCTATCATACGCCAGGTCAGAGTACACCCAACCATCTGTATGGTCTAACAACCTCACACCAGTCATTGACATGTGGCACGCGAACACATCTGCTCGTTCATTTCCCTGAGAGGATATCCACAGGGACTTGATCATCCTTCACTGACTGGTTAGTATTTTCACAGCGCTCTTGATTTCAGTGATTGTCGTCCTTTTGTTTTTTTCTGCCTGATTTTTTAAGGTTTTTGTAATGCTGCTTTTGAGTCGGTGGGGATCATTGCTTCCCTTGTGTTTCTCTGAGGCGTCTTCATGTCTTAACAACGGCAGATAGTTCTGCTTGTGTTGAGGAACCATAGGTCTCGATCCGTGCTTTTCCTTTATTTTAGTTTTGAAAGACATTGTTCCTAACTACAGTGTATGCTGCTCCGGCCCTGCCAGTAGTGGGATTAGAATGACGACCAGAGTAACTAATGTACTCGATTCTTGCATTTTCATTAATTTCGAGAAACTCGTTAGTTTAGTTAATTTATTATGCACCCCATACCCATCTTGTGGGCGGCGGTAGTGGAAAGGGTTACAGAGGCACATAATGGGCTCAGGGACTGAACCCCACAATTCATTTAGCTAAACAAGTTACAATCTTGATGAACTAGTTACAAAATTCAGTATAAGTCGTCACATCTGTCTCATTTATTTTATATTATCGAGATACTCATGTCTCATTTCTATATACAGTTTTAAACGTAAATGTGATACAATAATTAAAAGGGATGAGATCCATTACAATGTCTGACTGTCAAATGAAGGTAGGCACCCAGGAACTAATGTTCGTCCTGAAGGCACATATGTGAGCATACACACACTCGGCCCCTTTTATGTGGGCTCCGGCAATCTCCCGATATTTTTACATCCTGGAACTAAACCGAGTGAGTTGGGACTTGGGAGCCGAGACGTCGAAAAATAAAAATGTCCGAGTGTGTGAAACAGGCCGGTGGCTCAGGCGGAGTGTCTTTCTCTCCTTGGTACTGAGGCGCGTGTTTTCCACCAAGAGAGAGGACTGGGGAGTGTGTGTGGACTCAGAGCCTAAGGTGGCCATGTAAACTGTGTCTCGTAGACCTTCACAGGGACCCCTGTGTTCTGACCAGACTGTAGTGGCCTTTGTCATCGTAGAACTGCCTTCTACTAAGTAAAGTAGGCTACTGGTTCAATCCACTGGCAGGAGAGAAACGGTTGGGCACTCTCCTTCTATTTTATGCCTCTAGTCAGTAGCTGGCGAAGGGAGACCTCGATAAGCCCTCGTGTTCCCGACGATGGAGGATTATGTATGTGACTGATTCTTCTTTGACATATATATCAAACTTTATTTATGTTTCCGTTATTTCCCAAATTGAATAACAAACACTCATGACTGGCTGGTATTGACTTTTGATTTATTATCGATTTTTATTGTCGTCCCGGCCTCCACTGCGGCCAGTGGAGGCCTCCACTACGGCCAGTGGAGGCTTCCCGCCAGTTTTTGGCGGGAGACGGATGCAGAAGTATAAGTGATATATGAGAACTAGTTAAGCTAAAGACAGAAAATAAATCAATGAAGGGTTTTATGATATTTGTGATTAGTAGGAGATGACTGGATAAATTAACCCGATGTTACAACATAGTGTACACACGGCGTGTACATGTACAGCAGCGTCAACACACACATGACTGCATCTTTATCGCCGCACACGCAACGTGCATATGTACAACGCCAGCACTCACACCACGTGTGTGTGTGCAACAGCGTCAGCACACACACGCAACGTACACGTCATCAGCTCACACACAACTCACCTAATGTGCATCAGTACGAGGACATAGGTGGTGACCAGTGCAAAATAAAAGTAGAACGGAAGCCTCGGTGCTGTGGTCAGGGACATCTTGCATCTGATAAAATAAACAAAGTCAGCAAATTCTGCAAGCCAATGAGGACTTTCCTGAATGTGTAGGCCAGGGTGTGTGTACAGTGAGTGTAGGCCAGGGTGTGTGTACATTGAGTGTAGGCCAGGGTGTGTGTTTATAGTGAGTGTAGGCCAGGGTGTGTGTTTATAGTGAGTGTAGGCCAGGGTGTGTGTTTATAGTGAGTGTAGGCCAGGGTGTGTGTTTATAGTGAGTGTAGGCCAGGGTGTGTGTTTATAGTGAGTGTAGGCCAGGGTGTGTGTTTATAGTGAGTGTAGGCCAGGGTGTGTGTTTATAGTGAGTGTAGGCCAGGGTGTGTGTATAGTGAGTGTAGGCCAGGGTGTGTGTATAGTGAGTGTAGGCCAGGGTGTGTGTTTATAGTGAGTGTAGGCCAGGGTGTGTGTATAGTGAGAGTAGGCCAGGGTGTGTGTATAGTGAGTGTAGGCCAGGGTGTGTGTATAGTGAGAGTAGGCCAGGGTGTGTATAATGTGTAGGCCAGGGTGTGTGTATAGTGAGTGTAGGCCAGGGTGTGAGTATAGTGAGTGTAGGCCAGGGTGTGTGTATAGTGAGTGTAGGCCAGGGTGTGTGTGTATAGTGAGTGTAGGCCAGGGTGTGTGTGTATAGTGAGTGTAGGCCAGGGTGTGTGTATAGTGAGTGTAGGCCAGGGTGTGTGTACAGTGAGTGTAGGCCAGGGTGTGTATAATGTGTAGGCCAGGGTGTGTATAATGTGTAGGCCAGGGTGTGTATAATGTGTAGGCCAGGGTGTGTATAATGTGTAGGCCAGGGTGTGTATAATGTGTAGGCCAGGGTGTGTGTATAGTGAGTGTAGGCCAGGGTGTGAGTATAGTGAGTGTAGGCCAGGGTGTGTGTTTATAGTGAGTGTACGCCAGGGTGTGTTTTTATAGTGAGTGTAGGCCAGGGTGTGTGTTTATAGTGAGTGTAGGCCAGGGTGTGTGTTTATAGTGAGTGTAGGCCAGGGTGTGTGTACAGTGAGTGTAGGCCAGAGTGTGTGTATAGTGAGTGTAGGCCAGGGTGTGTGTTTATAGTGAGTGTACGCCAGGGTGTGTTTTTATAGTGAGTGTAGGCCAGGGTGTGTGTTTATAGTGAGTGTAGGCCAGGGTGTGTGTTTATAGTGAGTGTAGGCCAGGGTGTGTGTTTATAGTGAGTGTAGGCCAGGGTGTGTGTTTATAGTGAGTGTAGGCCAGGGTGTGTGTTTATAGTGAGTGTAGGCCAGGGTGTGTGTTTATAGTGAGTGTAGGCCAGGGTGTGTGTTTATAGTGAGTGTAGGCCAGGGTGTGTGTTTATAGTGAGTGTAGGCCAGGGTGTGTGTTTATAGTGAGTGTAGGCCAGGGTGTGTGTTTATAGTGAGTGTAGGCCAGGGTGTGTGTTTATAGTGAGTGTAGGCCAGGGTGTGTGTTTATAGTGAGTGTAGGCCAGGGTGTGTGTTTATAGTGAGTGTAGGCCAGGGTGTGTGTATAGTGAGTGTAGGCCAGGGTGTGTGTATAGTGAGTGTAGGCCAGGGTGTGTATAATGTGTAGTGTAGCCAGGGTGTGTGTATAGTGAGTGTAGGCCAGGGTGTGTGTATAGTGAGTGTAGGCCAGGGTGTGTGTATAGTGAGTGTAGGCCAGGGTGTGTATAAAGTGTAGGCCAGGGTGTGTGTATAGTGAGTGTAGGCCAGGGTGTGAGTATAGTGAGTGTAGGCCAGGGGTGTGTGTATAGTGAGTGTAGGCCAGGGTGTGTGTGTATAGTGAGTGTAGGCCAGGGTGTGTATACAGTGAGTGTAGGCCAGGGTGTGTGTACAGTGAGTGTAGGGAAGGGTGTGTATAATGTGTAGGCCAGGGTGTGTGTATAGTGAGTGTAGGCCAAGGTGTGTGTACAGTGAGTGTAGGCCAGGGTGTGTATAATGTGTAGGCCAGGGTGTGTGTACAGTGAGTGTAGGCCAGGGTGTGTATAATGTGTAGGCCAGGGTGTGTGTACAGTGAGTGTAGGCCAGGGTGTGTATAATGTGTAGGCCAGGGTGTGTGTACAGTGAGTGTAGGCCAAGGTGTGTGTACAGTGAGTGTAGGCCAGGGTGTGTGTACAGTGAGTGTAGGCCAGGGTGTGTATAATGTGTAGGCCAGGGTGTGTGTACAGTGAGTGTAGGCCAGGGTGTGTATACAGTGAGTGTAGGCCAGGGTGTGTGTACAGTGAGTGTAGGGAAGGGTGTGTGTATAGTGAGTGTAGGCCAAGGTGTGTGTACAGTGAGTGTAGGCCAGGGTGTGTGTATGGTGAGTGTAGGCCAGGGTGTGTGTATAGTGAGTGTAGGCCAGGGTGTGTGTATGGTGAGTGTAGGCCAGGGTGTGTGTATGGTGAGTGTAGGCCAGGGTGTGTGTATTGTGAGTGTAGGCCAGGGTGTGTGTATTGTGAGTGTAGGCCAGGGTGTGTGTATGGTGAGTGTAGGCCAGGGTGTGTGTATGGTGAGTGTAGGCCAGGGTGTGTGTATGGTGAGTGTAGGCCAGGGTGTGTGTATGGTGAGTGTAGGCCAGGGTGTGTGTATGGTGAGTGTAGGCCAGGGTGTGTGTATGGTGAGTGTAGGCCAAGGTGTGTGTATGGTGAGTGTAGGCCAGGGTGTGTGTATGGTGAGTGTAGGCCAGGGTGTGTGTATAGTGAGTGTAGGCCAGGGTGTGTGTATAGTGAGTGTAGGCCAGGGTGTGTGTATAGTGAGTGTAGGCCAGGGTGTGTGTATAGTGAGTGTAGGCCAGGGTGTGTGTATAGTGAGTGTAGGCCAGGGTGTGTGTATAGTGAGTGTAGGCCAGGGTGTGTGTATAGTGAGTGTAGGCCAGGGTGTGTGTATAGTGAGTGTAGGCCAGGGTGTGTGTATAGTGAGTGTAGGCCAGGGTGTGTGTATAGTGAGTAAGTGCAGGTCTGTGTGTGTGTGTATAGTGAGTAAGTGCAGGTCTGTGTGTGTGTGTATAGTGAGTAAGTGCAGGTCTGTGTGTGTGTGTATAGTGAGTAAGTGCAGGTCTGTGTGTGTGTGTGAGATATATATTAAAAACGTCCAGTGAGTTATAAATTAATACAAGTACAGTCGTCTTTATATGAAGTAATTTGAACTAGTGGAGACATGAGCGTTATGAAGAATGGTTCTTGCTGTTCAAATGTAGGTAAAGAACACTGTATATAATGTTGGTACGAGGGTAAAGTGGTGGTGGTGTGAAATGGTATTTATGATGGCATTATATTTTTAGACAGTACAGTACAAGGTAATTAGCAATACAAGGTTCACATAAGGAGGGATTATAACAATTGGGTGGAGGACTACCATGAGCAAGTTAAGTGCTTCCTTGCTTTACTATAAATATAGTGTAGGATGAAAAATTCTTTACTTGTCGGGGAGATCGACATATTTTAGGTTCCGTTACATACATGGTGACTTAGTTGCACTCGCGGAATGTTAAAGATATATTTATATGTCTTTGATAATTTCGTTTGCATTTTTGAGTAATGTTGGTGGATGTGATATACACACTATGGTACACAAGTTGTCTCCTGAACCATTTCCTAGAGAGTAACACTGATATACTCCTCTACTGTGATCAATAATGAGAGTACGTTGTGTCGTGTCAGTATAACTATATACATTAGCCACTGTTCTTACCAATGTATCACTGGGACCACGACTGGGGAAGGCGGTTCTTACTCCGAGTGGCTCTTGGTGTATGACTCCAGCAGAATCCCCGCGCCCGCCTGGAACACCGCGCCACGCAGAGAGGTGTGTTCTGACTGATTATGGGGTATCCATTAGGTTTTTGACCCTCCTTGAGTTGTGGAATCAAAAAACTTGTTCCGGCATCCACATTATTACGTCATAGTGACGCCACACACCTCATGCACACTATATGTACATTTTTATCCCATTTTAATTCGGTTCGGGCCCGTCAAGTTATTTTACGTTTGTTCCTACGTCATGTCTCCCTACGTCATAACATAGGGAGTAATAATTTTCTTAGATCTTAAACCCTACTCTCTTGAAGAGGACCTTGAGATGGCAAGATCCTGGTGAACCTGCTGCGTGGCAAGGGGACTATTTTTGGTCCACTTGCTCAAAAGAAAAAACGCAGTACAGGAAAGTCTGTTTGAAATATATCGGGAATAAACGCATTATCCTTATTTGTGACCTTTCATTAAATATGGTCGAATTGTGGTGTCGGAATTTCTCCAATATATATTGTGTGTGTGTGTGTGTGTGTGTGTGTGTGTAATTTTTTGTCACTATACTCTTATTTGGTAAGCAAAAACAATTGGGGGGGAGGGAAATACTTATTCGCTCTTGTCTAGAGAACTGCTCTCATTGGCGAGCCCGTAGAGGACTTACCTGGCACAATAGCGAGGCTGTAACTCCCCCCTCCTCCCCCAACACATTCCTACCTATATTCTAACTTTCCTTCCATTCCTTTCCTATCCCTACCTTCTCTCGCGCTCTCTGACCCCTAATTTAACTTTCTTTCCCCTACCCTAACTTAACAATTCCTTACCCTAACGTAGCCTACCCTAACGTAGCCTACCCTAACGTAACCAAATCTACCCTAGTCAAACCTAACCTAACCTAACACTTTCCTCTCCCAATGTGGTTTGTCTCACCTTATTATCCCTCTCATTGAGTTTACATAATTAACCCCCTTGTCACCTAGTGCGGGCTAGGTATCCAAAGTCTCTTTAATACACTTTTTTAAATTAAATTTTAATTTAATTTATATTAGTCCTTTATTGGACTTAATTAATTGAGTGCATTATTATTTTCTTTAGTTCTTATTACTTATAGGATCATAACTAAACGATTTATAGTTAATAGTCATTAGATTAAATTTGCCTATGTTTATTATTCAACTTCTTTGCTTTCATCTATTACCTAGGTTGCCTAGCCTCGCCATACTCCCCTACTCCATTGTACCCCTGGCTTTGCCTGCGTCTCAAAATGCAAATTATTACTTACAGTGTACCTGAGAGTACTTGTAAGCAATCTACCTCATTTTTCTTTTTTTTGTTCATTTTGTGTTTGTCTTGTATAGTCTTGTTTATATTTTTATTTTCCCCCTTTTATATAAAATGTTTATTTTGTAATTGCCATTCTTGCCTTGTTTTCCTACAAACAGCCTTTTTATGCAAACAAGTATAGACCCAGAACTAAACCTCTTATCCACTATCTATGACAATCATCACTTTAATGATCAAAATTGCAGATAATTTACAGCACATGATGTAAACAATGTATTAACACATAATCACAATATCTCTGTAATTAACTTGAATGTAAGATCTCTAAGCAAGCACTTCGATGATGTTAGTGCCTTGAATGAAACTATTGACAACAAATTCTCTTTTATTGTACTTATTGAAACGTGGTTAAAAGAGGATACTACTCAGCTCTTTAACATGCCAAACTACTCAGCTCTTTAACATGCCAAACTACTCAGCAATTCACAACTGTCGACCAATTCAGAGAGGTGGTGGTACTGCTCTTTACTTCCACCAAGAACTAACATGCTTAAAAGTAATTAGAACTAGAGACTACTGTGGGGAGTATATCTTCGCCAGTTTCAGAGTCAAGGGTGCTGAGTCTGTCCTGACTGTGGGAGCAGTCTATAGAATTCCTAACACTGATGTGTCCGAGTTCAACTCTAACCTTAGAAATCTAATACTAGATAACAGACTGAACAAAACAATCTAATTATCGCAGGTGACTTTAATATTGACCTCTGCGAGCCTGAAAACCCTACTGCTGCCAGCTTCCTCAACTGTATGAATTCCTGCTTCCTCATACCCTTAATCACTAGACCTACTAGAATCACGGATAGTACTGCCACGGCTCTTGATCACATCTGGACCAACATAACCTCTCCGCTTACTTCACGGATAATCATCGATAGCACTACAGACCATTACCCCACAATTCTCCTAACTAACATTAACAAACCATCTCTAGAGACAAGGGAGATAAGCTTTAGGCTGCACAAACTGCTATAGGCAATTTTATAGCTGCTGCTGCTGCTAATGCCAACTGGGAGTCCGAATTAGGTAACATAGGGGACATCAACCTAGCGGTGCAATCTTTTCTTCAAAAAACTCTCAGCCTTTATAACACCCACTGTCCTATGCTAACGAAACAAGTCACAACTAAAAGGCTAAACAATCCTTAGCTTACAAAGGGAATACTTAAATCCATTAATAAAAAACATGACCTCGAGAAGAAGTATAGGTTAGGAATCGTCTCCAAAGAATTTTCAAAGAATTACTCGTCATTGCTATCTAAAATAATTAGAAGAGCCAAAACTAAATACTACGAAGATAAATTTACCCAAACAAAGGGCAACATTAAGAAAACATGGAGCACAATTTCACAAATATTGGGATCAAAGAAGATTTTAAATAACAAACCAATACTCCTGTCCAATAACGATGGTCAGCTTACAGCCTCTGATACTGCTATTGAGTTCAATAGGTTCTTCTCTTCCGTTGGGTCATCCCTTGCAAATGATATTCCATCTTCCAGTACTGATGTTCAGTACTATCTTACAGGTAACTATCCACAGTCTCTGTAATAACGCCTGCAAATTCCACTGATGTTAATGAGATAATCCTTTCCCTTAAAACCAAGTCTAGTGCCCTTGAGGAGATACCAACTTTAATTTACAAAAAAAACTCCAGATCTTTAGCCCCTGCTATTGCATTGCTCTTCAACAAGTCACTTGAACTCCAAACCTTTCCAGATATTCTAAAAAAAAGCGAGAGTAACCCCTGTCCACAAATGTGGTGATTTCACTGATGTTAACAACTACAGACCTATATCAATCCTGCCAAACTTGTCAAAAATATTTGAAAAACTAATCTACAAGCAGCTTTACTCTTATCTAGCCAAACACAATATACTTAGCTCTTGTCAATATGGCTTCAGACCCAAAAAAAGCACTAACGATGCACTTATTAGTATGATGAACTTGATACATGCAGCTCTTGATAAAAATGAGTTCCCTGTTGGGTTATTTGTGGACCTGCGTAAGGCTTTTGACACTGTCAACCACCAAAACCTTCTTCTTAAATTACATCATTATGGAGTTAGAGGTCACTCCCTGCAATACCTTAAATCTTACCTTACTGACAGGCTCCAGTATGTTTCTGTGAATAATTCAATTTCTCCCACCCTACCCATCAACATTGGTATTCCTCAGGGCAGCATACTTGGCCCTCTCCTCTTTCTCATCTACATTAATGACATTCCAAATGCCTCCCAACACCTCAAACCAATTCTATCAAACTCTATCTATAAATTCATCAATATTTGTATCACACCTTGTATGTATGTACTTTACCTGAATAAACATTTTAATTTGAATTTTAACTTAACGTACCTTAATTACCTTAAAATAACGTAACCTCGCTTATCCTAACCTTCCCTAATCTAACCTAACTTGACCTATACCAAGCTAAATATTATGAATCTGCAGAAATACTATTTACAAAAAATCAACATAGCCATGTACACAATTCTACAAATACGTGTAACAAGTGAGTATAGGACGAGTTGAGAGTATTATTACACTCGCCAAATTCTGACATTATATATCAAATTCTGAGTTATATAAGCTTAACAGGAGCGAGTTTGAGTAGGCAGGAGTAGGCAGGCTTATCCTGTGAGAGTGATAACACGGCTGGTGATTATACACTCGAAGGGTCGTTAATATAGATAAGGCGAGGGCACTGCGACCACACCAAGGTGCTCTCCTCTGTTGGAGGGTATCGAGGTAGTTGGTGGTGGTGGTAGTAGAGGTGGTGGTGGTGGTAGAGGTGCGGGTGGTGGTAGAGGTGCGGGTGGTGGTAGAGGTGCAGGTGGTGGTAGAGGTGCAGGTGGTAGGAGTGCGGGAGGTGGTACAGGTGCAGGTGGTGGTAGAGGTGCAGGTGGTAGGAGTGCGGGAGGTGGTACAGGTGCAGGTGGTGGTAGAGGTGCAGGTGGCACAGGTACAGGTGTGTGTGTGAGTGTGTTGTCTACATGGGGAGTGTATGGGTGCCGCACCCCAGTAAGAGATACCGGTACCCGTCAGTGTGCAGCCCTCAGCACCAGAGGAGAGACGGCGGGTGTACCCTGTGGAGTCTGAGGGTGCGCGTGTGTTGGTCTGCGCATCACTCCCTGTACGTTCACCGCTCAACCTCTTACGGTGACCAGGTACGTCTTCCACCGCAGGCAGCGGACCGGAAGGTGCGATGTGTATCGCCTTACAAGTAAACACATGCAACATTTGTAAAGATGTTGTTGCATACTTCATTTTCGGAGATATTGCAGTCAAGGCGACATGTACTATGGGGGTTGAAGAGCTTGTTGGGCGGCTGCACCTCCGATAGACTAAACGGAGGTACTCCTTGTGTGTTTGCTCCTGCAGGTGTGGAGGTGAAGGCGCTGCGAGTGGGTATAAGCAGGTGCAGCAGGAGGCGTGAGGATGGAGGTGGTGGCGTGTGTGGTGAGAACCCTGTGGCCGCAGGAGTGGACAGGGAGGTGCAGGACACTGCTGGTGTCTGCAGTGCTCCTCGCCACCGCTCGCAGAGTCCTCAAGCACATCAAGAGGAGACGACTCAGGTGACCTTAACATCATGTTTTAAACATATATATATATATATATATATATATATATATATATATATATATATATATATATATATATATATATATATATATATATATATACAACTTTAGAACACTTTCCCACCAGGAGACTCGAACCCTAGCCAGCACAGAAGCCTTCCAGCAACTGGCATAACAGGTACGCCTTAACCCTCTCCACCACCTGCTCAGACCCTTAAAAGAGATGGTAATTTCGGAGTATTTAAATACCCCAAAGATCAACACCTCCCAAGAGCACCAGAGCAAGTGAGGGGTCATTTATACGTTAATTTCATCAAGTCCCTGTTAATATGGGAAGACACAGTGTCTCTGCTTAAGGCACAACTCTCCTAAACACGAGAGTTAAGTATACAACTTATATATATATATATATATATATATATATATATATATATATATATATATATATATATATATATATATATATATATAATATAAAGAGCTTGGAAAGGGTGTGAGAGGAAGAAGGATGTGGCGGTAAAATTCTTGGAAGAGGATCTGGATGTGGAGAGAGAAGGCTTGAAAGTTCGGTGGCCTGTCCACCGCGGGTTAGTATGTTTTTGGTCATGGCTTGTGGCACACACTAGGGGCTCCCCCTGGTGGCTGGCACACACTAGGGGCCCCCTGGTGGCTGGCACACACTAGGGGCCCCCTGGTGGCTGGCACACACTAGGGGCTCCCCCTGGTGGCTGGCACACACTAGGGGCCCCCTGGTGGCTGGCACACACTAGGGGCTCCCCCTGGTGGCTGGCACACACTAGGGGCTCCCCCTGGTGGCTGGCACACACTAGGCCCCCCCCTGGTGGCTGGCACACACTAGGGGCTCCCCCTGGTGGCTGGCACACACTAGGCCCCCCCCCTGGTGGCTGGCACACACTAGGGGCTCCCCCTGGTGGCTGGCACACACTAGGGCCCCCCCCTGGTGGCTGGCACACACTAGGGGCTCCCCCTGGTGGCTGGCACACACTAGGCCCCCCCCTGGTGGCTGGCACACACTAGGGGCCCCCCCTGGTGGCTGGCACACACTAGGGCCCCCCCCCCTGGTGGCTGGCACACACTAGGGGCTCCCCCTGGTGGCTGGCACACACTAGGGCCCCCCCTGGTGGCTGGCACACACTAGGGGCCCCCCTGGTGGCTGGCACACACTAGGGGCCCCCCTGGTGGCTGGCACACACTAGGGGCCCCCTGGTGGCTGGCACACACTAGGGGCTCCCCCTGGTGGCTGGCACACACTAGGGGCCCCCCTGGTGGCTGGCACACACTAGGGGGCCCCCTGGTGGCTGGCACACACTAGGGGCCCCTGGTGGCTGGCACACACTAGGGGCCCCCTGGTGGCTGGCATACACTAGGGGCCCCCTGGTGGCTGGCACACACTAGGGGCCCCACTGGTGGCTGGCACACACTAGGGGGCCCCCTGGTGGCTGGCACACACTAGGGGCCCCCTGGTGGCTGGCACACACACAGCAAAACATTCAAACTTCTACATTTTATTTGTATAAGTTATTTTTTTTAGACTTCCCCCTTACCTCTTACTCTTTTATATCTATACTATAACTATACCTATAATAGGTTAAGTAATAATTGTAATTACGAAGCAATAAGATGCTTATCTTAACATACAAAGAAGGTTAGGTAAGGTCGGTGTTTTCTATGAAGCTTTTCAAGGTAAACTAGTATGTTCAGTATGTCACATATGCACGTATTTAATAAGTCAATATTTACTATACGAAAGTGCGAGAACGGGTTGTTCCTTGCATAGCCATTTATTGGGAGAGTTTGCTCTACAGTCGAGCCCCGTGATGATACCTGAGCTCTACCTGGTAGCCTCTCGAGAGTTGATCAGCGTCTTGGGGTAGAGTAGTTGCCGAGTGCTCTAAGAGGCTTATCTCTCGAGTGAGGCTTAGGGTCATCCCCCGTGTCACGTCTGTCTCTCAGCTCCGTCCACTGTCACTCATCGTGTATGCCTCCCCTTCACACATACACTTGATGTTATATACTTTATTCATCAGACTTTGATGAGCCATTCCTTGTGTGTAACACTGCCTCGGTAACGGTCTTCGTGACTCCGGGGCACAGATCTCTCCACTTCACATCTTGTGACATAACATTATCATATCTATGTCCCTTTCCCAGACCCACTTGTGCTCTTAAGATCGTCCACTCCGATAGTCTTAAGTGGCGCTCAGTGCTCACGCCTCTTGCTGTTTTGTAATTATAATTGCTAATTAGTTATCATATTTTGCCGCTCACAAGTTCCAGTAACATCTATATATTCACTTTGAGTTCACATACAGAATCTCGTCTCCACAATACCTTTAACTATTTTATATTCACTTTTACCTGACTTTACCTGAGGGCCACTATATCTCTAGTGGCCTCAACCAGGACAGGAAACTGGCGGCTCGTCGAAGGTCCGGCCCATTTGTCCTGATGATTTTGTTGAGCTGGACTTTGTTATTCAACAGTTTTGGCATTTACGGCTTCGACGGGTAGGCGGTTCTATGGGTTTATAACTCATGGGTGAAAAAGCCTCTCCTGTTCTCAGTTCTACACTGTGGTTGCTGAGCTTGAAACCGTTGCTCCTTGTTTGTGTTACTTCTGACCTTTTTTAAAACGTTGTCTGCCTCAATATCCTCCAAATTGTTCAGCATTTTTTAAAGTTTCAATGAGATCAGCCCTGTCATGTCTGATTTGCGTTTTCTTTCCGCAGCTCCCACTGTTGTGCAACTTTTAGTCAATGGTGGATTCTGACTCATTTTCTTCGTCAGTCTGCTGCAAGCTAATGTTGTTCATCTGGTAGTTGTGTCGTGCATGGTTCACGTGCAAGGTCTTGCACTTTTCTATATTAAAAAGCATTGGCCAGCCATTTTTAGTTATTATCTCTGGCATGCATCTACAACAGTTTAAATGATCTCACAAATTTCCATTCTAGACTCCGCTGGAGTGACTGCGGCAGCTGTCTGTAAATAACTCGATATTTTTCCACTGATTAATCTAATGTTCCCACGCTGCCATAGGTCCACCAACATGTCTTGTAATCCCTGGTATATAAGCACCCTGGGAGACATTACTCGAACTGGCCACACTCCTGCCTACATCGAACTATTCACCAATCAGACCAATAACTCTGACTGCATCCTCTGCTGTCTTGATAAGACTCACGGTTCAAGCTAAACATAGCACACAGTCCTCTGTTCATTCTCTTATATATACATTAAAACTACACACTACGTACTATGTAAAACACTTACATTTACTCGCCATACCTCAATCACACTTGAATTTAGTATGTAACGTGCAAACATTTTCGGCTGATCACAAGACAACCAAGATGGTTCATTGTTGTGGTAATGTTTATGGTGGCCAGATGTGTACCTCGGTCTGATGAGTACGACTTTGCTATTGTGTTTTCTACCACAGATCGACGTAGCCACATGTTTACAATCCTAACCAGCATATATACATTTTCTTCTGTCCTCCATGGACAGGGTTAAGGCTCTGTTAAACATATAGTTCAGTGATTTATTAAACAATCAACCACAGAAGGTGATTGTAGTGTTTTTAAAATGCTAATCTAACCTACAAACATAAATACACAGATTTACGTCCGTCCTACATAAACAGTGTTCGAGGTGTCTTTTTACATAGTGTCATTGACGTGCTTTTACAAAGATGAAATGCATTTACAAACCAAGGTTTATGTTACTGTGAGGCAGGCGGGAGTATGAGAGCGCGGGGAAGGACGTGGTTGTCCTCCACCAGTTCGTCAGAGGCAGGTACTGCCCCAACCTCAGCCCCTTCGCCCTCAAGCTCGAGGCCTTCTTCAGGCTCGCAAACATCAAGTATGTGGTGAGTACTGCTCTTGCCTCCCTTCCTTCTTTATTATATTGGACCATAACCAAATTCATTGCATAGGATTGGTTATAATATTGGTTACATAGAAATTAGGTACAAAGAATTAAGAATGCTGTGTGCCATTTCCCCTCTTTATTGCTACGCCGAGGCGCTGGGAAAAGTAGCTGGGAACTTTAGTTTATCTTGATGTCTTGATGACTATACAACCCACATCCTTGAGAAAACTATTGGCCCTCTTACCCCAGGCACCTGCAAGGGTCTCTGGAACTATGGGGAAAGAATTCTATTGATGACCCACTTCTCTGTATTTACGGAACTGGATATATTTTCTGTGGATGGCATTATTACCTGCATGTCCAGCACCATATTCAGTGTAGGTATCAATCACGACTGGATTACATATGTAGTCCTACACTAGCTACCTACCATTCTTCCAAGGTGCATTGTAATCCTGTCTGACCGACCAGCAGGATTGCAGAATTGGGTGACATTAAGAAACGAGGCTCTCTACTAGGCATCAAGCTATGATGAAGGTCCACTTACTGTTGTAATTGACTTCACACTGCTTTGGCAGAACAAGCCTTAGGGACGGCATCCGTCATTTGCGGCATCCTCGCCGCAAATGCACCGACAGTGTTGGCTGTGGCAGCAAGGCAGAAAACCACCATTATATGAAGGGTTTGTGGTTTGAGATTCTTTCCTGTAGCTGACATGGTGGTCGCTAATAGACAGTTACCTGCAGGGGAGACATCACCCCTGAAGCAAATTATCTTAAAATGTATTGGTGCACTATCAAGACACATTGCAGCTGCTCTGGTTGGAATGGAGGCCCATAGACTCGGCGAAAAATAACTAAAAATTTGAAACTTCGTAGGTTGCGTCCAATATATAATTCATTGTGTCGGGGGACAGGCAGCCAGAACCGTCAGGAGAAAGCACCAAATCACTACGACTATATAGCACTTGGAAGGGATCAAGATAAGGACTTGGGATAGGACGAGGAGAACGAATGGTGCCCAACCAATTTGACAGTCGGGGATTAAACGCCGACCTGCATGAAGCGAGACCGTCGCTCTACCGTTATATTGATAAATTATGAATCTGGCCCAGCTAGGGCCAGATTCACAAAACAGTTACACAAGCACTTTACGAACCTGTACATCTTTTCTCAATCTTTGGCGATAATTTTATTATCGTGTATGTGTATATATATATATATATATATATATATATATATATATATATATATATATATATATATATATATATATATATATATATATATATATATATATATAAACAAAAATAAAAAAGGAAGGGGGTGGTAGGAGAAAAGCACACAGAAACTGTATTGGAGGGGATCTAAACATTCCCTCTAATGCGTTATACGTGGTTTCCTCCGAGGCTATGGGTCCCCCTTCTTCCAGCTAGAGGTGGTACTCCCTTCCATATTTTTATTAATAAAAAAAAAAAAATATATATATATATATATATATATATATATATATATATATATATATATATATATATATATATATATATATATATATATATATATATATATATATATATATATATATATATATATATATATATATATATGATAACCATCTTTGTAACCCATATGTAACTCCTTTTTTGTAACAAAGTTCAAATAAAGTAAATATATATGTGTACATACAAAAGAATGGGGGTGGTAGGAGAAGATAATATTAGTGTTCAGTGAGAAACCACAAGGTCTCCTCTGAATACTTTTTATTTTCTTCTCCGAGGCTATGGGTCCCCACATTGGCACCAGAGGTGGTACCCTCACAAACTTTTATATATATATATATATATATATATATATATATATATATATATATATATATATATATATATATATATATATATATATAATATATATATATTTGTAGTGTATTGGTTACAGTTCTTACTATCTCAAACATGTGATCAAGTTACAAGGGAAAGTAATGTAATTACATTACTGTAGTTAGGGTATAGTTCATGGCCAAGAGACCAGCAGGGGACCTACTGGCTGATGTAGGCATAACCATCACATAAACAAAGGCGCATTCTAATTTGTCACTATTGTATGTTTAATGTAACTGCATAAGTATATTTTTGCAAATAACTAATTATGTGTAGATTTCTTAAATTTCCTGGTTTCTACCTTAATGCCTTTAGTAACAAACTGCTTTACCGAAACACTTTATATAATCGATAAATCCCAAGCGCCGTGACAGATGACACTCATTGTGACCTAGAACACTCCATTGAGAACTTAATTGTCCGCCCACACGGGAGACATCTCCCGTCACGCAGGGTGCAGTCGCACCTCCACAGATCTCCAGTATCAGCTCTTGATACTGGTAATGGCTCAAAAGGGCCACCACTTACGGGCTATTCATGCCCGTGCCACCTTTTGGGTGGCTTAATCTTCATCAATCAATCAATCAATCGTCCGCCCTCGCCCCCAGGTGGACAGCCAGACCCCGTTTGGACCGAAGGGAAGGTGTCCGTGGATCACCATCAACGGGGAGGAGGTGGCCGACTCCGAGTTCATCCTGGAGCACTTGACCCACCGCTTCAACCTGGACCTTGACGCCCACATCGACCCCAGACAGGCAGCCGTTCTGGAGGCTGTTCGGGTCCTCGCCGACGAGCACCTCTTCTGGTGGGTCTTGGTAAAGTGGTATAGACATATCCTCATCATTGTAACCATCTTCACTAAGTGGTATAGACATATCCTCATCATTGTAACCATCTTCACTAAGTGGTATAGACATATCCTCATCATTGTAACCATCTTCACTAAGTGGTATAGACATATCCTCATCATTGTAACCATCTTCACTAAGTGGTATACACATATCCTCATCATTGTAACCATCTTCACTAAGTGGTATAGACATATCCTCATCATTGTACCCATCTTCACTAAGTGGTATAGACATATCCTCATCATTGTAACCATCTTCACTAAGCACTACAGTAATAATATAATAGTTTTGATAGGACAGGTTGGAAAGGATACAAGAAGGATGTTGGAGTTCTATGTAGGTCGAGCGCTATGCCTAAAGCCACTAACATGCACAGCGTCTCGAGCATGATGCTGAGAAACCTTAAAAACTAATGACATAAAAACTAATAGGGAACAAATGCAAAAAACGAGCTAAAGTGGAGAAACAAACAAAATTCCAATAATTACATGACGATCGGTACAGCAGCAATTGCAACAAGTATTAATTTTCACTAAAAAAAAAAATGAAGTTATACTTTTATTTATTTTTACAAAGCTGATATCAGCAGCTTTACATGTTCAGTAATTAATGTTCGATAATAGTGAAACATGGGCTGATATTTAGGAAGTAAGGTTGGTTACTTTAGTCCATTAGGGAGTGAATAGTTTCTCTCCTAAACTAAAGAGAGGGACAGTGACGTTAGGGAGGTCATTCCACATTTTGGGACCCTTGATTTGTAGAACATTTCTGCTTATGGTTATTCACCATCTTCTTCACTGTAGCCATCTTCACCACACTGTGTTCATTACTGTAACCATCTGTCCTCTACTCACTGTCACCATGAATGACATGATCTTCAAACTAATGTAAGGTAAAGTTGGTGGAAAAGTGTGAATGACTATCTAGCACTTTTTGGGATGTGAGGACCAGGAGCTGGGATGTGAGGACCAGGAGCTGGGATATGAGGGCCAGGAGCTGGGATATGAGGGCCAGGAGCTGGGATATGAGGGCCAGGAGCTGGGATTTGAGGGCCAGGAGCTGGGATTTGAGGGCCAGGAGCTGGGATGTGAGGACCAGGAGCTGAGATGTGAGGACCAGGAGCTGGGATGTGAGGACCAGGAGCTGAGATGTGAGGACCAGGAGCTGGGATATGAGGGCCAGGAGCTGGGATGTGAGGACCAGGAGCTGAGATGTGAGGACCAGGAGCTGGGATGTGAGGACCAGGAGCTGGGATGTGAGGATCAGGAGTTGGGATGTGAGGATCAGGAGTTGGGATGTGAGGACCAGGAGCTGGGATGTGAGGGCCAGGAGCTGGGATGTGAGGGCCAGGAGCTGGGATGTGAGGACCAGGAGCTGGGATGTGAGGACCAGGAGCTGGGATGTGAGGATCAGGAGTTGGGATGTGAGGACCAGGAGCTGGGATATGAAGACGGCGTGAAGGAACAGTGCCCAACCACTTGCACCATTGGGAAGAGATATGATTTTCAAATACACACAAATAAACAATACCTGACTCAGATATTTACATAATTATGCAAGTTACATTTTTTTTTGCCACCTAGCAATTGCAAACTAATTTCCAGTTGGTGATCATAATTTGTTATGTCAACATTTTTAAGTACTTTGAAATGAAATTCCGGCAACCAACGTCAAAATTGTCTTTGTGAAATGCACGCATAAAACAAATACAATTTATTCTTGTTCATCAGCAACGTCAAGTTCAAGTTTATTGAGACAAGGAAAATATGTTTGAGACAAGGAAAAGATACATCTCAAAGCGATTGAGTAGCTTAGACTATTTCTATTCCCCCCCCCCCCCCCCGCCCAGCAACATCATGCTGTGCTTGGCGTTGCTGATGAACAACTATATCACATTTTATATGCCATATATTATATTAATATGCCATTTATTATTGTCCCATATAAACTTGTCATGCCATGTTGGCATATTAAATTGTTTCCAAGTTATTGACTTGATTGCTTGATAGTTCATGATTGTATAGGTGCAATTTGATGGAACTTTTGTACCGAGGCGATAGAAGCACCAGTGGGAGGTCAGTGGGCCCGCGTGTGAGTAACGCCGGACGTCATATGACGCTCAACGTCCGCAAAGGGTTAATAGCATTAGAAAAGTATAATTATGATGAGACATAGATGTCATTGAAGACAGTGGCCGAAGATGACACCAGAGGTCACTATGTCATTGTCCTGCATGTGTCACTGCCCTAAATACTTATTTTTCTTTCAGTTGCCCCAGTCACGTGTGGCCAGGCCGTACAAGTACACTGTTTACCCGTGCCTCACTGTCTTGCTTGTGTGTCACTCTTGCAGGTGTGTGGTGGTGTGGCGGTACTGGCTGGACGGGAGTGTTACTTTCTTAAAATCACAGAACTTCAGTCTCTACTTGCGCTTCGCCTTCTCCTTCATCGTGCCGCGGGGCATGAGGGACAGGGCCAGGCAGCACGGCATCGGCCTCCACACGCCCCTCGAGATCTACCAAATATGCAAGAAAGATTGTGAAACGTTAGCCGGAGTCCTGGGTGAGTGACTGGCCCCTGGGACACGGGCGCCAAGGTCCCTGGGGTGAGTGACTGGTCCCTGGGACACGGGCGCCAAGGTCCTGGGTGAGTGACTGGTCCCTGGGACACGGGCGCCAAGGTCCAGGGTGAGTGACTGGTCCCTGGGACACGGGCGCCAAGGTCCTGGGTGAGTGACTGGTCCCTGGGACACGGGCGCCAAGGTCCTGGGTGAGTGACTGGTCCCTGGGACACGGGCGCCAAGGTCCTGGGTGAGTGACTGGTCCCTGGGACACGGGCGCCAAGGTCCCTGGGGTGAGTGACTGGTCCCTGGGACACGGGCGCCAAGGTCCCTGGGGTGAGTGACTGGTCCCTGGGACACGGACGCCAAGGTCCTGGGTGAGTGACTGGTCCCTGGGACACGGGCGCCAAGGTCCCTGGGGTGAGGATTAGGTGAATTGTGTCTACTCACCTAGTTGTGCTGGCGAGGGTTGAGTTCTGGCTCTTTGGTCCCGCCTCTCGACTGTCAATCAACTGGTGTACAGGTTCCTGAGCCTATTGGGCTCTATCATATCTACACTTGAAACTGTGTATGGAGTCAGCCTCCACCACATCACTTCCTGATGCATTCCATTTGTCAACTACTCTGACACTAAACAAATTATAATGTTTCTATCGCTCATTTGGCCACTCAATTTCCACCTGTGTCCCCGTAGTGCGTGTGTCCCTTGTATAAATTGTCTTTGTCTACCCTATCAATTCCTTCGAGAATCTTATATGTGGTGATCATGTCCTCCCTAACTCTTCTGTTTTCCAGCGATGGAGGTTTAATTCCCGTAGTCTCTCCTCGTGGCTCCTACCCCTCAGTTCAGGTACTAGTCTGATGGCAAACCTTTGAACCTTCCCCAATTTAGTCTTATGCTTGACTAGATATGGACTCCATGCCGGAGCTGTGTATGTATGTGTGTGTGTGTGTGTCCTAGTAAGGCTGGTAGTTGGAGTTAATACGAAGATATAATTGGTTCGTTCACTAAGTGGAACTTCAAAAAACACTAATTAGTGTTTGCATGGCACTGCTGCTAACTAATTTACACTTACATTTCTATGAATGTCAGGTATATTATTGTGGCGCCGCAAGATCTGAACCATTGATATATGCGGTGCCGGTATAGCGCCTTCATAAATTTAAATGCCATCATGTACTCCTGCCTCTACATTCCCTTGTATAAATAAATTGTCAATATCCACTGCATAGATTTAGCATTTTGAAGATTGATTTAATATAAACAAGCGAGAAATAGATATCTTTTACATGTGCATGCAAAACGTTTTGCATTTTTGTATTAGCTAAGTTATATTATTAACCCTTGCACTGCTCACCCATTTTTAGCAAAATTGTCAAGGACATATTTTTGTTGTTTTTATAAATGTTCAGGTAAAGTTTATGTCAAAATGTTTGCAAAGTCAACTATTTCCATTTCAAAACAGAAAGAGTAATGAAAACATTAAAAAACAATAAAATATATCCTAATTAAAAAACAAAAAACACAACTCTCAGAGCGCCTAAAGGTGCTTTGCGCAGTGCAGTGGTTAAAACTGAATAATCAATGTTATTATGGTCATCAGGTGAGAACAAGTTCTACGGAGGTGAAGAGCCGTGTAGAGCGGACTGTGCTGTGTTCGGCCAGCTGGCCCAGCTCATGTGGAACGCTCCCGGCTCTCAGTACCAGGCCCTGCTGACTGGTGAGTTACGCCAGGCCTACCGTGCTTACCACCACACATGTCGACGCACACATACGCAACCATCCACAAACATAAGCATGTTTTATTTAATTTATAAAATAGTTACAGCTTACAAGTCACAAAGCAATTACTGTTAAAAACAACAACAAAATGGGATGCCCTTGCAGCCAGACCAGCCCGGTCAGACGTCAACAATCAAATAGGAACTGCCCCATTGTGGATAAAGAAGCTATAACTTTGCTCGATATAGCAAAGATATCCTGGAGCATTGATCGTCTCACCACACGAGTTCTCATGCGGGGGATTTACTCTTAGCAGCCCCATTTCTGCAACAGCACACACCTTGACTCGCATTGCAGTGAACCTGCTTTACTAACCTGGTCCACACTGTATATATGCTTAGTTGCAGCGAGGCAGGAGATGAATACGGACTGTTTAGTCTATACTGCAGAAAACCCAAGATATGGCACACAAGACCGTCTCTTGGGTATTCTTGTTGCTAATACAAGACTAATTCAAATTATTATTATATACAAATAATTATTAAATTATTGTCTAAATATAATTGCGCAGATTTAAATTATTTTAGCATAAAGTTAGATTAGTGTACGCTCGTTGTGTATCATATTGTTTATAGTAGGGTGTTTGTTGACAGAGGTGTACCCGAGCCTGGCCAGCTACTGCCTCAGGATGAAGCAGCGAATCTATCCAGACTGGGACACCCTCATCACCTCCCCTCACCTCTGAAGATTCCTCACCTCATCCCTGAAGCCTTATACTCGCCTCCACTCAGCCTTGATGCCTGGTCGTGTTCCCTTCAGCCCTTCTTCAGTCTGTCTTCCTCCCTGATTCATACTCGACGTTTACCCCCTTTCATGCCAGTGTTCAATTCCTTCACCTTTTGAAATATAATCGAGATCTCGATTTCCCTTTCATACATCTCGACCTCAGCCATACACCTACTCGATTTCCCTTTCATACATCTACTTAACCTATTCCACATACCTTCTTTACCTCTCACACAATCTACTCGACCTCTCACACATCTACTCAACCCCTCTTTCTCTAATACACCTAATCGACTTGTACTACATACCTGAGGCCACCATCTATCCATGACTACGACGGGGACATGAAACAGCCGGCTTGTCAAAGGTCCCCCATTTTTCCCCGCTCTGATAACTGTTCGAATCCCCCAGCTTAACAGTAGCATGCCGGCTCGTCCTCAAAATTCTGCAGTCCACCATGAAATTCGTCCAATACCCTCCCTCGTCTTATATTGTATAGTCACACTAGCTTAGCACTTTCTGTTCACAGTCACATAGCTTCACAATAAAATAATTCTCTGTACTTTCTGGTATAAAAATAGTAAAATAAAGTATGTACATATTAGAAGTCCGTTTTTTTAACTGAACCATTTATTAAAAGATATTTATTTTTTGCAAAATGAAGAAAACGGGAATAAGAAACGGGAAGTTATATTAAGAAGGGAAACAAATACAAATCTATTTTTGGTTTTATTTATATATACAAGAGTTCTTACATTCTTATGAAGCTACTAGCACGCATGGCGTTTCCGGTAGATTCTTATTCACAATTTTCCCCGGAATATGTTCAATTGTTTTAGATGTGAAGAAACAAGAAGTATTGTCGAAAAATTACGTTCTAATGCTGATGTGCTTTTTGAGCCTTATAGAACAGGAGTCATGGAAAAGATGGGTTTAGGACCAAAGGAACTCATGAAGGACAATCCTAAGCTTATTTATGCTAGACTCACTGGTTTTGGGCAGTCTGGACCTTATGCTGATATGGCTGGGCATGACATCAATTATTTAGCACTGTCAGGTGAGTGCACTCTGTATATTTTCTTTGTCTATTTATCTATTAATTTAAAAAATTTAAAAGAATATTAATTAATAATTTTCATTGTGGTACATCATGCCATTGAAACTTTGACTCTATAGTGCTTAATCCTTAGGCACTATAGTTTATAATATTTTCTTGGGGGGGGGGGGAGCCCCTATAGCTCCCTGGAGCTAACCGGGCTGAAATTAATTTTGTATTAGACCCCCCCCCCGGAATATGATCCGTCAAATCATTTAACAACCAGGCACCCATTCACTGTTGGGTTAACAGAAGCTACAGTTAAGGATTGGCGCTCAGTCAATCCTTCCCGGGATACGAACCCAGGCCAAAGCGCCGGGCGAGTGTTTTACCACTGCGCCACGGGGACAGTATCTTCTGTTATTAAGGTCTAAGTGACCCTAGTAACCCTACTAACTCTAACATGGCCCTTGAGTTAGGCCTAAGGTTATGTTATTTTAAATTAGGGCTAGATTACAGGGTGACCTTTAGCTCAATGGTAAGTATGGTAATGTGGTACATGGGTGTCAGTGGCCTTGCATGAATGTATCGCCGACATATTTACCTGAATTTATCTAACTGGCAAATATCCACTGGCACTAATACTCTCTTGGCCTCGATCAGGACAGGAAGCCGGCGGTTTTCCAAAGGTCCCCCCATTTGCCCTAACGATTTTTTCCAGCTGGATTTTAAAATGTAGCAGTTTTTGCATTTACGGCTTCGGCTGGTAGGCGGTTCCATGTGCTTATAACCTTGTGGGTGAAAAGCCATCACCAGTTTTTAGTCCTACATTAATTTGTTGTTTGTTGAGCTTGAAACCGTTACTCCTTGTTTATGTTACATCTGACCTTTTGAAGAAATTGTTTGGAACATCATCCTCCAAATTGTTCCGTATTTTATAGGATTAAATGAGATCAGTCTTGTCATGCCTGGATCGTAGTGTTGTTAGCCCAGTGGTCCAACCGTTCCTGGTCCGAGAGTTGACTTAGTTCTGGAATTTTTGTCGCCCGGTGTTGTACATTCTCCAAAACAGCGTTGTCCTTCTGAAGATTAAGTCTCCAAGCATCAGTACAGTAATCCATGCACCAGAGATTTATACAATTGAATCAATACCTTCTTTTCCTTAGAGTCAAAGGTACGCTTGATTATTCCAAGGGTTTGGTTATCTTTCTTTACAGCTGGTCCTGCCTCTTGTGACACTTAAGGCGAATGGTGGATTCTGTCTCCAAGGTTCGTTTCTTCATCGATATGCTGTAAGGTAATGTTGTAAATATGGAAGTTGTGACGTGGGTTGCTAGTCCCTCACGGGCATAGTTTTGCATTACTCTATATTAAAAAAGTATTTGCCAATCTTCTGACTATTTGTGGAGTTCACGTAGATCTCTTTATAAGGCTTTAATATAATTTTTACTTCCCACTTTACCGTAAGCCTTTGTGTCCTCCGCAAATTTAATGATATGGTTTGTAATATTCTCATTTATGTCATTGATGTATATGGCAAAAAAGGGGTTTACCCTAAAATGGACCCCTGTGGTACTACATTTCTCCAGTCAGATTCATTCCCATTAAACAAAACTCTGCTTTCTTTGTTTTAAGCATTGTTTTATCCATTCTAGTATTCTACCATTTATTCCATGTGTTTGTAATTTTCTTGCTAGTCTTTCATGTGGTACCTTGTCAAAGGCTGTAGCAAAATCCACGTATACTACATCGACAGGAAATCCTTTGGCTAAGTAGCTGATTACTGTTTTCCAAAAATGTAAACAGGTTTGTAAGGCGGGATCTATTTTTAACCAACCCATGTTGAGTTGATTTTACATTGTTCACTGGGATATGGTGAATGATTCCATCCCTTAGGATTCTCTCCATACATGAGCTTGCAGATGTATGATCGGATGGTAGTTTTCTGCTCAGCTCTTTCTGCAATTTTTTTTTTTAAATAATGGTGTCATTTTCATACTTCCAATTTATGGGAACTATCCCTTGGTCAATATATTTACTGAAAAGCAATTTCAGCGGTAGTCATAGTTCCTGTGCTAGTTCCTTGATAACTTTGGCTTGAATTCCATCCACACCTGGGACTTTTAAGTCTTTTAGTTTGTCAGTGTTCGTCCTGATTATGTCGCACGTTGTGGGTCTATTCCTTAATTATATATATATATATATATATATATATATATATATATATATATATATATATATATATATATATATATATATATATATATATATATATATATATATAATATATATATATTCATTCTCTTCATCTCCTTCAAACATTTGTGTGGGTAGTGGGATGTCTGAACGGAACGCTGATGTAAAGTATTTATTGAGCAGTGTGTTTGCTTCCCGTTTTCGTGCATTATTACTTGGTTAGTCTCATCTTTTAAGGGTCATACCGAGTCCTTTGTTTTTATTTTACTTCTTAAACAGGCATAGAACGACTTTGTATCTTAATAATGTTCAAGGAAATTCATGTTTCTCTTTCACAAAATTAACACATACAGTGGGCGGCTGGGGAGAGGTTACAATCATCCTCGAACGGGATATTTGGCTGTGCCGAGGACTGTTCATATTTCTTTGTTAGTTTAGTTTAGTTCATTTATTATGCACCCCATACCCATCTTGTGGGCGGTAGTGGAAAGGGTTACAGAGGCACATAATGGGCTCAGGGACTGAACCCCACATTTCATTTAGCTAAACAAGTTACAATCTTGATGAGCTAGTTACAAAATTCAACTATTTCGTCGAAAAGTATTTTGTTTGCAAATACCAGACATTAGAAATTAATATTTGTTCAGAAAACGTGGTGTCGGTGTTGCCACCTGTTGACGGAAGCACTAAGGACAGGTTTTTGGTTTCAAGGTTGTTTAAGGCCACCACAAAAGCTTACTGGCCAACCAGCAAGCGTACGTTTTGCCTGAATATAGTTCAAGACAAACGAAAAACCAGTAGTGAATATTTTAACTTTCTTATCTTTCTTTCTGGGTCTAAAATACGGCGCCAAATTTAAGAGAATGTGTGGCGTCCCTGTCCGTCCTCCGGAGCGTTCCCAGGGGGACTATACACTATACATAGAAAGTTTGGTGTACTTATGGTCCACAAGCAGAAATGACCAAGGCAGATGATGTATAGCATATTTATATAAGACACTCATTAAGAAAGTATATAAATGCAAGCAAAATTGAATAATGACCAACATGGCACCTCAAAAGGTTGTCATGGCGACGCTTATTCCTGGGTCTATGACATGGGGATGTACAACAAGTTTACGATTTTACTGCAATACAATAAAAAATAACTTCTAATTAAAAATAACTTACAAACTAAATTGATCATAAGACATAGGGACTATTAAATCTAGTTAGTTGATGATACTGTAGACGAATGAGTTGAGACTATGAGGAAGAGAAAAGCATGGCTGGCAACTGAGGGTGTGTTGACCACAAGAGCCCCGGGGCGCCTCAGTCAGCGGGTGGCAGCGAGGGCGGCGGGTCGTTGTGCTCCCTGGCCGTCTGTGACTCACTTGTGTTCCTTCCTCAACTGCCTCTACGTCAAGAGCACCAGCCACGTTATCCTCTTAAACAGCTCTAAATGGATACTAGTGAGGCATTTTATTCAACCACGACTAAGATTTGAGGGCCCTCGGAGGATCGTTTTTCCAGTTACTTGATATTATTATTATATGGTTAAGTGTTCCATTGTGTAGTGAAGGTTGGTGTTGGGTCCTCCCTCGTGAACATGTGCTCCGGTCTAGTATATTTCTGAACGCTGTGCACCGCGTTACTTCCTGCTAGAATGAATTCGTAAAACGTGTCAATTAGCAAGAGACTGGCGATACATTTCCCCCCCCCCCCCCCCCCCCCCCCCCCCCCCCGACTGACATCACTCAGGAGAGTATAGGCAGACTTAAGGGTTGCCGGGTGGCCATGGTGTACAGCGTTCACCTGTAGCCTGGCGAGGTGAACACGTCAGTTGAACACCCCGCGGGGAGGAGTAACACGCGGTCCACTATGGTGTGTGGGGGCGGCTCCGTCAGGTGGTTGGCACTTGTTGCTGTCCTTCTCAGTGCCGCTAGCTACGGTAAGTCTTCCTCTATTTATAACATAACTGCAGCATACATAACACTAATAAACTTGTAGTCAACACGAATAGCTGACAGCGATATAAAATAACACTAACGAGTTGAATCTTCTAGATATTCTTTACAGGGAAAACTGGCCAAGTTCAGGTATCCAGCCATGTCAGTCCGGAAAAAAAGCCATATCTTTCCTTTCAGCCACTTGGGCTGGACGGTAGAGTGACGGTCTCGCTTCATACAGGTCGGCGTTCAATCCCCGACCGTCCAAGTGGTTGGGCACCATTCCTTGCCCCTAGCCCATCCCAAATCCTTATCCTGATCCCTTCCAAGTGCTATATAGTCGTAATGGCTTGGCGCTTTCCCTGATAACTTCTTATCGGGAACTTAACCCCAAAATTAGCTTAGCAAAGCATTGACCAGATAAACTGTAACTAGCGCTGCTGCTGCAACTATATTTAACTTCAAATATGGAGCCCTTTGTGTACAACTGTAGCCTTTATCAATGCCACTCAGAATGAATTTGGTGTACATAATATGTGAATTAAACTAAAATAAAATAAGGGGAGTCTACTGTGGGTAAGTATATATTTGTTATGCTTGCTTTGTTTGGATGGGGGTCAGTTGTTGGAGTGTAAGTGACTATTGAACTGCTTCACAGGCAGACCTGCTCGCTGCCCTTTACTTGGGAATGACTCCCTTTCCCTCGTTCTATCCCATCTCCTCCTTTCCTTCCATCTCCCACCCCACCTTTTCTTCCATCTCTCTTCCACCCCATCATATCTATCTCTGTCTCTTCCACCGCTCCTTTTCTTCCCTGTCTCTCTCTCTCCCCCACCTCTCATTTTCTTCGTCTCTTTCCCACCTCTCATTTTCTTCCATCTCTCTCCCACATCCCTCCTTTTTCTTCCATCTCTCCCTCCCACCCCTCTTTATTCTTCCATCTCTTATCTCATTCCCTCTTCCTTGCCCTGCCCTTCCGCTCTCATCCCAACATAACTTCCCAATCCACCTACTTCCGGTCTCCCTCTTGCTGCGTGTTAGTTCCTCTCCCTCTCTTGTACTTCCTGTTTCCGTAACCGTCTTTATCCAGAGCTTCGTGCCTGTCCCTCTCTGCTGTGTAAGAGGGAAAAGTGAAGGTTGGATAAAGGTTCACGTGAGAGCAGACATAAAGGGCGGGTAGAGGAAGCGGACTGCGTCACCTGGCAGCTCTCTGCATGCACTTCCGGTCGTGTTCTGTGTTACCTGTCTGGCTGCTGCTCTGCCTCCCAGACACTACCCGCGGCTGGGTCTGCCTCCCAGACACTACCCGCGGCTGGGTCTGCCTCCCAGACACTACCCGCGGCTGGGTCTGCCTCCCAGACACTACCCGCGGCTGGGTCTGCCTCCCAGACACTACCCGCGGCTGGGTCTGCCTCCCGGGCACTACCCGCGGCTGGGTCTGCCTCCCAGACACTACCCGCGGCTGGGTCTGCCTCCCAGACACTACCCGCGGCTGGGTCTGCCTCCCAGACACTACCCGCGGCTGGGTCTGCCTCCCAGACACTACCCGCGGCTGGGGTCTGCCTCCGGGCATTGTCCCATTCACTCCCTACTGCTTCACATCTATTGGGATTAAATTCTAGCAACTTTTTGTAGACGACGAGTCACAATAACGTGGCTGAAGATATGGTGGCCAAACCACACACCAGAAGATAAAGAGACGACGTTATGGTCCGTCCAGGACCACTATTGACTTGATAATGATTCATGACGGACCGAAACGTCGTCGTCTCTTCATCTTCTGATGTGTAATTTGGTCATCATAGGTACTTTTTGTATTTACGCCTCCGTGGCTTGTTTAGTGTGTGTGTGTGTGTGTGTGTACTCATCTAGTTGTGTTTGCGGGGGTTGAGCTCTGGCTCTTTGGTCCCGCCTCTCGACCGTCAATCAACAGGTGTACAGATTCCTGAGCCTATTGGGCTCTATCATATCTACACTTGAAACTGTGTATGGAGTCAGCCTCCACCGCATCACTTCCTAATGCATTCCATTTGTCAACCACTTTGACACTAAAAAAGTTCTTTCTAATATCTCTGTGGCTCATTTGGGCACTCAGTTTCCACCTGTGTCCCCTTGTGCGTGTGTCCCTTGTGTTAAATAACCTGTCTTTATCTACCCTATCAAATCCCTTCAGAATCTTGAATGTGGTGATCATGTCCCCCCTAACTCTTCTGTCTTCCAGCGAAGTGAGGTTTAATTCCCGTAGTCTCTCCTCGTAGCTCATACCTCTCAGCTCGGGTACTAGTCTGGTAGCAAACCTTTGAACCTTTTTCCAGTTTAGTTTTATCATATGGACTCCATGCTGGGGCTGCATACTCCAGGATTGGCCTGACATATGTGGTACAGTATACAAAGTTCTGAATGATTCTTTACACAAGTTTCTGAATGCCGTTCGTATGTTGGCCAGCCTGGCATATGCCGCTGATGTTATCCTCTTGATATGTGCTGCAGGAGACAGGTCTGGCGTGATATCAACCCCAAGTCTTTTTCTTTCTCTGACTCCTGAAGAATTTCCTCTCCCAGATGATACCTTGTATCTGGCCTCCTGCTCCCTACACCTGTGTGTGTGTGTGGGGGGAGGGGGGAAGAGCGTGTTATAAATTTGTGAGTGTGTAATCAGTTGGAGCCTATCACTATGGCATTGCTGAAATTCTTGGAATCCAATTTGTAGTTTAGGCTACGTATGATTGTGTGGAAGAACCAACAATTTAAAAGTAAACCACTTCAATATGGGCAAAGAATTTAACGTGACCAATCACAAACTAAATATAGACGTAGATTGTCGATTACTATTATCGCAGTGAAAGCTAGGGTGTAACAATGACAAGAGTAATTAAAAACAACAAAAGCGTTTTTGAGTACATTTAGGGCAAATTGTTGTGGGTCGTCCACAACGTCTATGACTCATATCTAATGTGTTACTCCAGTGTGTAATATGTTGTACTTAGGTCTTGCAGTTACAGTACAAGCAGCCTTCTGTTACATCCATTACAAGTAATGTTCAGTACAAGGTGTACAGGTAAATTGTACAAATATTAATCAAATTAATCAACGAGGGGTCTGATTCAGAACTTTCGGGCTCTCGTTAATCCTTTTCCGCTATTTCTCCAGCCCGTCCTCCTAAGGTTCCCAACGTAAAAAAAAAACCTGTGGTATTGAAGTGCCCTTATCCCAACTCACCAGAGAACCCAAAACAGAAAACGGGACAGTATGTCAAATAGGTGAGTACAACTAGGTGAGTACAGGAAGCAGCCTGTAACAATTGTCTAACCCCCTAGGTACCTATTTATTGCTAGTTAACAGGGGCAACAGGGTGAAAGAAACTGCCCATTTGTTTTCCACCATACCCTAAGATTACGACTTCCAAGTGCTGTTCACTCAGCCACATACCCCCTTGTGAGAGTGAGTGTCTGAGTATTAGTTGTACGTGTTAGTCACTGGACGAGACTGTATGAGTAAGAACAGTCAGGGGGGTCGCCACAAACATTCCGCACCTCAGCTTAACAGGGCCGCTTCTACCAGCTCCGTTAGCCTCCCTTTGGTGCTTCACAAACCCATCCACCCATTCTCGCCCATCACCCACTCACTCTCACCAATCACACACTCTCACCTCCAACTCTCACGCTCATCTCCCACTCTCTCACTCATCTCCCACTCACTCACCCATCACCTACACCCAACTCATAAACAGTGTAAAGTGTTCGAGGTATGTTTTTTTAATTAATCACATTATGTAAAAGAACACTGCTTATGTTAGACTTAAATCTATGCATATATGTTAGATTAGCATTTTAAAAGCTCTGCAATCACCTTTCGTGATTGTTCAATAAATTACTGAACTATATATTTAACAGACCTCTAACCCTGTCCATGGACGAATATATATATATATATATATATATATATATATATATATATATATATATATATATATATATATATATATATATATATGCTGGTTAGCATTGTAAATGTGTGGGCACATCTCTGGTAGAAACAAAATTCACCCACCCACTTGCGCACCCAGCCACTCTACTCTCATCTCGTAGTGATAAAGATCCAACATTGGTTGTCCCTCATCTTTATCTCTTCTTGTCCACTGCTGTAACACGAGGACAAAACTGAACAGTATAATCCAAATGGAACCTAACAAGAGAAAGATAAAGCTGAAGAATAACATTGGATGTCTTGTTGCTAACGCTTCTAGAAATAAATTCATACTATTCATGACAGATCTCTTTTTTGCATTAAGATTTGTTGATTTCACCTCCATCAATGTCCAGTTTATATCTCATAACTTATGATTATCTTAGCGGGCCAGCCAGACGCTCAGAACTCTACATTTTCAATATTTAAGGCCATATACCAATCTCTCATCTTATTTTAAAGTCAATCTAGATCGTCATAGCTATAGTGAATCTTCTCAATTTATTTCCCGCCATATTTTTATGTCTATAATTTTGCAAATGTTGCTGCTTGATCTTTTCTTAATCGTGTATATAGTAAACAACAATGGATCCAACACACAGCCTTGGGAAACTCCCAGTTACATCGGTTTTCAACTCGGACATAACTCCCATTTATACTAACACACTGTTTCCTGTACAATAACCATTCATAATCCAATAAAGTATGAACACTCGCGAACTTTTTCTTCCCCTCAGTAACATGCTCCTCTAACTTTATAATGTCTTCCGTGAAGCAGTGTCAAAGCCTTAGCTACAATCAAGGTATAGAATGTTCCACTTAATTCCACTAGTTTCTTCTATGATATATGAAAGAAAACAAAATTGAGTGTGTGTTTGTCATAATTCTTATCGATCCATTCACCCCACACACCCTCGTCTATCCCTTCAACCCCACACACACACCATCTATCTCTTCACACACACACCATCTATCCCTTCACACACACACACACACACACCATCAATCCCTTCACCCACACACACACACACACCAT